AGCTTGGAACTTTGCAGAGGAAAGCAGCTTTGAAATATTTGTGTGCAGACTGTCAGCTTGTGTCCCAGGCTCTGGGACAGAAATCACCAGCAGAGCTCCCAGAGTGAAAATTCTTGTTCTGCATGCACACAGAGACCAGGCACTTCTCATCGGACACAGGAAAGGTCTGGTGATTTTTCTCAAGGTTTTTTTTTTTTGTGGTTGGTTTGTTTGTGGGTTTTTGTTTGGGGTTTTGGTGGGTTTGTTTTTTTTTTTTAAGGCCATATTTCAATCACACTCAGTCATTTTCCCTCCAGTTAAAACCCAACTGTTAGTTGTAGGTGTTTCATCTTGGTGAGGCTGTGAAGCTGGAGCCAGCACAGTGGAAATCCCACACAGCACACAAAGACTCTGCTGCAGTCTGTCATTTATTGCCTGAATGGAAAGAGTAACAACCCAATACAAATATTTGGACTTCTCTTTGTTCCTGGCAGGGCTCTTGAAGCACACACACACGATTGCCTCTGGTTTTGTGAGGATGGGAGAAGCAAAAGAGAGACAGAGCTGGGAATGAGCCAAATCAGCACACGAGAGAGGCAGAGGCTGCTCCAGGGCTGTGCCAAGGTGTGCAGGGCTGGAGCACCAGCACAGGGTTTTATCACAGCAGGATGAGTGGATTCCTGGAGCCTTATCAGGGTGTGCATCAAGGATGGCTGTTGATAATGAAGAACAGCACAGGACAGAATCTCCCACGGGTAAAGCCTCTGTCTGTGGGGCTGTGAGCAGAACTGAACCAAACACCAAAGGACAGAGATCTTTTGCTCCAGATCTGAGCACAAATCCAGATCTGGACCTTCTTCAAAACTGCTCCAGCCCTGTTACACCCCACTTGACCAGAGCAAACCCTTAACCAGATAAACAGCACCTTCAAAACAACAGCATTTTCCTGTCGTTATCTCAGAGCAAGGGCAGGAGCACTGGAAAGCTCAGCAATTCTGGCTGCACAACCACACAGGTATGATGTCCTACCACTCTCACATCTGCTGCAAGCCCAAATACACAGCTGTGGTAGGGCCAGCTTGTCTTTGGAAGCAATTACAGAGTGCTTACCTCGTGTTTGGTGCTCTGGAAACTGGTGCTCCACCCTCAGGAGCAGGAGCAGGAGATCAGAGCCCTCCACCGCCTGCAGAGCAGGAGGCCATGAGCAGCCCTGGTTTCACTGATAACAGCAGCACAATCTACACAGCCTGTGGAAAAACAAACGGTCTCTTGGTTGATATCCCTGATTCCTTGGCTCATGGCCCAAGGAGGAAAGCTTGGGAGCACTGAGGAAAGGATTCAGAAAACAGGCCTTGAGTCAAACACCCAGCAGAGAAGTTTGTGACCTGTACTTGCACCTGTTCTTGCACCAGTTTGTGACCTGTTCCTGCACCAGGACTGAGCTGAGGAGCTCCTGGGAGGGCACTGCCTCCCCAGCTGGCTGCTGCTCCATTTTCCCTCCTGGTGCTGATTTCACCAGCCATCACAAGGGGCTGCTTGTCTCCAGTTTGGAATATGAGTCCCTAGTGACATAACTTGTAATCCATATAAAAAGCAAGATTAGAATGAGAATATTAACTTCTAATATTTCTCCTACTGTTCACCCTGCCCTAATCCAGCATAGTGTGCCAAATACTAAACAATACTAACTACTGCATCAGGCCTTTCTTCTGACATTAAAAGGAATTGAGTCTGCTTTGCAGTCATGGCTTCAAGAAGTAAGAAGTGAAGGAAAAAGTCCAATAGCAACACTCTCTTTGCTGCTCTGTGCATAGCAATGGGCTCAACCCGACACAGCAGCTACACAAACTGTTCTGCTGCAGTGCTGGGAGCACCCAAAATATCTGTCTTCAGAAGTTCAGTGCTATGTTGGGTATTCCTGATCCATGTTAGAATTATTCCTTAACATTTACCATAGCTCTTCACATCCCTCTGTGCCAGCATGCCTCAGAGCTGGGTTCAGGCAAGGTGACTGCAGGCAGAGAACAATGCAGCACTTTCCCTCTGCAATCTTGCACTGGGGGGCAGCCCCGGAGCTCCCCTGGGCACACCTGCCTGGCCCAGCCCAAACAAACCTGAGAGAGTGTGGGCAGGAGCACTCTGAGCTCTGCCTGGCAGTGCAGCCTGCTGGCAGCTCTGTGCTTGCTCACCCTCAGAGACACACACAGGAAGGTGGGGAGCAGAGGGGAAGTAAACTCAGCACTTGTTTTGCAAGGCTCAGCTCTAATGGACAGCATTAGAGCCCCTCCCATGCTTTGGGAGCAGAGCAGCAGGGATGCTTTTCAGAGCTGGTAAAGCAGCCCCTGCTGGTGTTGGTCAAGCCCGTTTTCTCTTGGCAGCCTCTTGTAGGGACCAAAGAAAGCAGGAATTGCTGAAGGATCAGCAATCTCTTGGCAAGCACTTCCCAAGTCAGCCTGTACCAGACACCCATGGAAGGAGAGGCATTCCCTGAAAGGCTTTGCCCAGGACCTGCAGAGGTGCCAGCTCACCCAACTGCAGCCATCTCATCCTGCCCATGCCAAAGGCTCCGGCAGGAGAGGGCAAAGCACAAAGCTCTGCACCAGCTCCCAGCAGGGTGGACAGCAGCAAATAAACAGACAGATGGCCTTTGGCAGCATGTTGAAAAGCATTTCAGCTTCCTAATGAGAAACAGCTCCTGCTGTGGGCGCTGGAGCAGCACTGGCACCATCCCCCTGTGCACCAGGCAGTGACACCAGCTCTGCTGCACATCTCAGCAGGGCAGTGACAGATGAGGTGCTGTGACAGAGCCCAAGTTCTTCCATCACGTCACTGCTACCTTGTGTGACCCAGGGGGTAGCAATAACAGCCAGGCTCCTCTCCATCATCCTGCCAGAAGGAAACTATTTAGAGACAGCTTCCAAGGGCAGCCATGAGCTTGCTTCCCTGGCAGGCTCACTGGGCCAAGAGCTCTGAGAGGTAGGGCCATCTATACCCCTGAAGGGGGTGAAGGCCAGTAGGGACATGACTTCCTTCATTCCTATAAATGCAGGAGGTGCCAAATGTTTGGAATGCGCTTTGTAGAGCAGGATTAGCATGGGGCCTGCAAAGCTCTACTCGCCCGAGCACGGATTTTGCTTAGAGGGTTTCTAATCTCACCTGTTTATCCTGGGTGTGCATGATAATGAAGGTGTTCCAGAGCCAAGAGAGATGAAGGAAATGCATTCCTGATGAGCTGCTCCCTCTCTTCCAGCAGAGGACTCAACAACCTGCACAGGGCATTCTTTTTTGTGAGGGTTGGGGCTAGGCTTAGGCTTGAGAGAGTCTAAGGGCCTAGATCCAGTAAAGCCACGCCAAGGCCATCCCAGCATTGCTGCTCCTACACCTTTCTGATCTGAACCATCAATACTGGTGATGGGCTAACTCTGAGCACAGTCTCTGGGCTGAGGAGAGACTGCTGTGAGTGTTTGTATGAGCAATCCAGAGAACGTGGAGCTGGGAATTCCAGGCAATAACAGACCAATGCCTTAGGTCTGTTTAGTTTGTGAGAACTGGGACTCAGGCTGGAAAGGTATTGTTGGGAACAAAGTAATCTGTAAATCTGTAAAGTAAATCTGAGTAATTCTGCTCTCTGTGCAGTGAAGGACTGAGGAGCAGTGAAGGAGCAGAGAAAGGGAATATTTATAAACAATATTAATATTTCACCCAAACTGGGGGTGACCAGTGATGTCCATGTTGTCGTACAGAACTTCTTCGGTTATGGGTCAGAGAGAGAGAAGGGAAATTACTTTTTATTTTCTTGCCATTTTTTCCAGACAGAAGTGGGACATCATCTTGCCCTCCCCAAAGCTCTCCAGGCACATGGGAGTAGCTCAGTGCTGGCCCAGTTCTCTGAGAGATAACAACATTTGAGAGATTTGAGATAAGTGTTACTAACAACTCTGTTGTCTCTTGATTGCAAAAATTCAGTCCTACAGACCCAGACTGATGAGACAAAAAGGGAATTTCTCCATATGGGTTTATCTAAATAAACACTTTCAGCTCCCTTGCTTCCAGAGCCCAGCTCCAGCCTGCAGTTCCTTGTTCCTGTGCATGTTGATGGTTTGCAGTCACTGAGCACGAATATCCCTTGCGAGGCTGCTCAAGGGCTCATTTCTGCTTTGCAGTAGCGCTGTGAGTCACCAGGTGCCACCAGCGAGTCATCTCAGCCTCTGCTCATGTGCCCGCCGCTCGGATTCCACCCACAAAATTCAATATATCCGAGGATTGCCCCCAGACAAAAGCTGCCAGGACAGAGAGGATTTGGAGACTTCAGCTCCCCAGGACAGCCTGTCACCTGCACCTGAGACACTGGGGCTACGTGCTTTCCTTCCTATGGAAAGGAGCTGTCATTGCTGCCATTCTCTGCCTGGATAACATTGCTGGAATTTCAATTCCACCTCCAAAATTGCATATATGCAAGGACTGCTCCCACACGAGAGACGTGGTGCTGGGGAACAGGCAGAAGTGCACTGAAATGGAGGGGAACCCTCTGATTTAAGCCCTTAAAATGATGAAAAAGGGTGAGTTTCCTTCAATTTAACCCCTTAAAATGAGGGGAAAGAAGGGTCTGCCTTCACTTCAATCAGCCCTCATGCTGTCACATCCAGTGCAGTAAGCATGCTTCCTCTAGATCTCATTATCTTCTGAACTGAACTGTACTGTCAGCATGTACTCTTTATCATTCTTCTAAGTGATAACAGGTTTTAGTTCCTCCAGCAAAATTAAAGCATAGAACTTTTGCCAATGACCCCATGGCCTTGAGCTTTGAAGCAGAAATGCTTGTAAAACAATAAACATCTACCTCCCTTTCAGAAAAACCTGACTGTTAATGTGAAGGAGTTGCAGTGGCTATCTCCCCTTCAATCTTTTCCTTGATTGGAGATGACCTCTGAAATGGAGCATTTCATTCAGTTTGTTTTGCTTCAGTAATTTACAACAAACCTTTGAACAGAGAGAATCTTGTTTATTTCTGGACACCCGTTTCCACTAAAGGCTTTTCCCAGACTAGCACAAAGACTACCACAATCAGCCATCCTGAATCATCTGGACAAAATATGAAATTCTTTGGCTTAGATGTTTCTTTCTTCATTCTTTCCACCCTCACTGCTCTTTGGAATGCAGGTAAGTGATTTTCAAACATTTTGCTGCTTTTAACTACAAATTTTTTTGACTTGTCTACTTCAGAATACACTTACTTTGGTAAGAAATTGTTGATGCCATTTTTACAAGATAAAGCAAAGGCACACAGGCCAGCTTTTACCTGCATGGTTTCATTTTCAATCCCTTCCTCTGTAATTTCCAGCAGGTCAGTGGATTTCTTCTGTAAGTAAATAGACAATCTGGAGAATGCAGTAAATATATTTAAAGACAGAGAAAAACTTTCCAGCTTCCCATATTGGACAAGTGCTTTTACTTCTCTTTTGTTCTTCACCACCCACCTTGATCCCTGCCTTTCTTCTTGCTTGTGTACTCCCAAATAATCAATCCTCCCTTAGTTTATTTTTCATAACTGGCTCCAATTTTGTAAGATCCATGTCCAAATTTAGAATTTCTGATACTTACCTAGATCATCTCAGCATTGCATGGTATTCTTGATACAGCTCCCAAACACTGTTATCCTTGCAAAATTCCACTTCCCAAAAGGTCCTCAGTACTCCCAGCTGTCTCTGCAGCTTATTCATCTCACTTAACTCCCCCTGAACTTTGTGAAATCCAGCTATTTTTGACAGTGCTACTGTAATGTCTGTCTTCTTCTCACTGTTGAGTGGTTTTCCATGTGATGTCCGGCAATTACTGACAGTCTGTAAGCCAAGAGCCTCCTCACCTGTCTGTGTACCTGCCTTGTTAAGGCCAGACTCAAATCAAATGCACAAAACAAAGACATTTCAGTTTCTCTTAATAAACTTGTGTTGGAGCCCATTTCATTGCTTATTTTAACTTTCCAAGAGCATTGGCTTTCTGTTCTTAATGATTCCCATGTAGGGTTGATGGTGGGGTTCTGGTACATTTAAGAATTATCCCCAGAAATAAGTGTAATTGGTGATACTCACTGAGGGGCTGCTCTGGAGATTTATCTGTCTATTACATGCAAAAATACCCATGGAATTAATGAAATTATGTACTCTCTGGGAGGTAAATAAGTGTATTTTGCTATTCAAAATGGAGCAACCTTAATGTGCAGGTGATAACAACCTTCACCTAAATACATTCCTAAACTAACATAACCAGCCTATTTTATTTACTTACAGCAGTCTATTGGATGATGTACTTGTGCTTTAGAGAACATCTAGAAGAGTTCAATAACATTCCTGACTCTTTTTTTCTTCCTTTAACAAGGAGCTGAAGACTCTTGTGCACAGAGATGTGGGGAGCTGCTTGGTACCTGTTCTTGCCAGGTGACATGCCAGTCCTTGGGGACATGCTGTCCTGATTATAAAGAATTTTGTCTTCAAATTTCTCCATACTCAGGATCTCTTATGGGAGGCAAAGACTTTTTGATTAACAACACAGCATTTGATCCCTCTTCTAAGCTAAAATGCAGGTGGGCCATGATTTTATATTCCTCTGCCAAAGAGAGGCAAAACTTAAAATCTCACTCTCCAGCAATAGGCAATTACCACAAAACAAGACCAGTCTATACAGGAGTGAAAACTTTGTAAAGTTGTTAGAATCCCGAAATGTACAAAAGTTCTGCTCAATCTCACCCTCAAGGATACCTGTGGACTGTATTTCTACACAGGATTGTTTCTTTTAGGTGGAGTTATTGTGTGGTACAATCATAACTCTGCTCATTCTTCCCTTACCATATTAAAACAGTGACTTTTTGAAAAGTTTCCCTTCAGGGCACTTGATGGTCAATATTTCTTTAGCGTTTCCCTTCATGGGAAAGAAGTATCTATTTCTTAATCTGAATGAGAAAACAGCAAGACAGAGATGTAGGTAGGACACCTGATGTTTACCCTGTAAGATAAAGCTGTGGATCCTAAATGTGTCAGCCTGTATCACACTTAGGTGCATGTGGCACGTGCAATACATACAGTACACTGAATTTTGATGACCCAGATGTTGTGCTATTATTTCCACAGAAGGTTCTGAGTGAGATTTTGGAGTCCTTCCCATCTGGGTAGCAGTACCTGAAAAGTTTTTCAATTCTTTATTTGGAAAACCTTTGACCAAGGCATTCACTCTGTAGAACACAACTGTGCTCTTCGAAGTACCTGCAGAGTTACATAATTATAGCCAAGGCAAATTCCAGTGCAGGAAAGCAAAGGTCCTATTTCCTGGCAGGCCCCAGCTCCCTCTGATACTTGGAATAGATATTCAGTCCCCGTATATCAGTCTTGAAAAGTCACAGGTGGGGTTAATCCCCAGGACTCTGGACAAGAGCCCTAACTGGAATCAAATGGTTAAATAACAATCAGTGCCTTCTGAGTTAACCTTTGCAACAGAAATGCTACAACAGCATGAAATTCCTTTTGTTGCCCTCACAGGACTTACCAGGGGAAAAAAAAACAAATCAGAAATTTGCAATAACTGCATCATGGCCATTGTTAGCCACCCTGTAATCTTACTAATGCTGTAACATTATTTTCCTCTTCCTGTTGCCCCTTTGTTGTTAATTTATCATATCTCTCTCCCCCAGAAATTAAATAGTAAATTGAACATTTGTGGATTGCTGGATATTTGTGCAGTTCGCAGTAGAATTCACATTGACGTAATGGCACAATTTTCCAGTTTATATTCCCTGCTACAAGCAAAACAGCCCCAGACTTGAAATGATCCCCTCATGACACAAGGTTGCTTGTTGAAGAATATTCAGAATTCTCCTTCTATCTATGGTGACACTAAAAAGTGTTTTCAACATCTACAGGTTCAAGAAGGAAATCACAACCAGTGGCTATATTGACAAGGATGGAAAAGCCCACTGCATCTCCCCATTGCTTTATGAGACTGGTTTCATCCCTTTTGAAGTTTCTACAGATGCTGGGTCAACGTTTCCCTACTCTGGAACTTGGTTATCAGGTTACTTATATCTACAGCATCCCTCTTCTTGCTATATATTTCCTCCACGCATGCAAGATTAGAAGTCTTTTCCTTTTCATCCCTTTTATTCTTCTTTAGCAAGCCTCAGAAAAGAAAATCTCACTGGCCTCATGTTAATTCATCTTTTGAGAGATGAACTTTCACAGCAATTGAGTAGCAGCAGCAGCATTAACTGATAAAAAGTCCTGCTTAAAAATGAGGTTGACCAAAACAGTTCAAATAATTGCATTGTGGTGTTGTAATCTAAGGACTGCAAGTATTAGTAAGGGTTCCATTCTCTCAGCTTCAGCTTATTCTTTTCATGTCATGCATCCTGTGCTGTGTAAAACATACCCAGGGGAAGTCCTGCTAAATCTTAAATAATAGAGTAGCACTTTTTCAGGACTATGCAAAGCCAAAATGTCATTAGCCCTCTTTTTCTGCTCTGCAATGCAGTACATCACAGCAAAGTTTCAGATGGAGAAAAATGCACTTTGGTAAATGAGACAAAATGGCAATACTATGGCACCTCCAACACTGGTGGAAACTTAACTCTTACATGGACACACCAGACACTTGAAACAACTCATGTCAACATAGAAGTCTGGGGATACCAGGAAACAGGTAAAGTGACCCTTTTCCTACAAGCATTTATCACACACAGAACTCTTGTGCAGAGCTCTGCACAGCTTGTGATCACTTTCACTGCAACCTGCAAGTGTAAATAACTGATTACAATAATGTCAGCTTTTCCTCTTCATTTATATATGGGTGGAGACATCTCATTTCAATCTTGTGGCTATTGCTCTTTTCCAGCATCCAAAACCCTTTTCCTCTATCTGACAGGTGACAGTTATTCAGAAAACTGGAGGGCTGAATGGAAATACCTTTATACTTTGGCAAGAGAAACCCCCAATACAGGGAAATATTCTTTCCTTCCTGTACCTGCTGAGGGAAATTACAGTGCGTGGGACTATGGAATTTTGAGAATTATACCCAGCAACTATTTTGATGGGCAGAGGCAAGTGAATATAATAATAATACTAATACTAATACTAATAATAATAATAATAATAATAATAATAATAATAATAGCTACCTTATAAGTGGTTGTCTCCTTTGGCATTCAAAACTGAGACTCAGGCTCCATTTCCTGGGAAAAAATGGGGAGAAAACTGGAAGGTCAAAAGTGAGAAAAACTCATAGGTCAACATACAGACAGTTTACTCAGTAAAGAGGAGCATGGAGGAAGAATCATGAAGTCTCCCATGAGCAGACTGATGCACAGTTAGTCACCCAGTAAGAGCTGCTTTGGAAAAACACCCCTGCAGTTTTATTGATGGACATGCTGGTCTAGGGCATGGAATGTCCCTTTGGTCAGCTTGGGTTGGCTGTCACAGCTGTGCTCCCTCCTGGCCTTCTCCCTAGGGCCAGCACGAGACACAGAGAAGACCTTGACACTGTGCCAGCAGGAGATAAGCACTGGTTTATCAGTGTTATCAGCACTGTCTTGGTCACAGATCCAAAATGTGGCTGCTGTGAAGAAAATTACTGCAGCCAAACCCCTCTGCTCTCAGCAGAGCAGGATCTGCTGATTCTTTTGTTTTGTGACAGCTGTGGAGTCAATTGTGGAACTCAATCACTGCAGCCACAGGCCTTCCTCTTCTATTTTGTATGTAGGTTTTTGCATTCTTTCAAATTTTATGGCCATTTTTTTATTTCATTGCATATTTCCCCATTATTTTTGGTGAACTACCTGTGTAAGTGCTCCATGGATATTCCTTCATAATTCTTCCATATCTGCAGGTATGATGTAGATGGTGTACACTCTGTGAGTATATAAATGCCACCTCTTCAGTGTTACAACATATTGCTAATATGTCAGAACATTTTTGAACATAGAAGGATAACCTTTTCCCCTTCTAGAGGGCTTTTTATTACACTTTGTATAGATTTTTTTTTCATGGGGGAAAAGCAGAGTGGCTTTGGAACATTTCAAGGATTCTAAATGGTTTCTGTAGTCATTAGTCCTGATATTACTGCTGTTATGTTTTGTTAAAGAATCCAGATATTCTTCCTTCTGGCCTAAATGAAATTACAATGTCAAAAGGCATGAATACAAAACCTTCCTCTAAAAGGATCTATGTAAGCCAGAATCATGATTACTAAAATGTATTCTGATTATTGCGTACTTGCTGCATGCTGTCCTGCCACCTTCTGAATTTGGAAAATTTTGATGTGCCATAACTTTTTGAAGGAAAAAGAGAGCAGTGGGCTTTGCAAAGAAATAACTTGGAAGTCAAAAATGCTTTTAAATTATAATTAGCAATTGAGCCACAGTGCTACTGTCAAAACAGTGCTTGTTCAGCTATCAGATCTAATTTTTCTTTCTCTTTTTTACCAGCAATATTCCATCAATCTGGAGCCCAGACCATGCATTGGCTTGGCACCTTGAGAAAGACTTCAGAAATGACCCAAATGCATGGGCAACTGCAAAATGTATGGAATGGGACAGAAAGGAAGAGTTGCTTCCAAACTTCAAGGAAGAAATTATAGACTGCCCTTGCACCTTGGCACAGGCAAGAGCTGACACTGGCAGGTTCCATGTAAGTTATTAACTGATCCCTCTGGCCTATTACAATTCCAGGTGGAAGCTTTAGGATTGCCAAACTCCACACACACACCCCTGTTCCCTCTCTAAACATCATTACAAGGACATTAAATTACATATAAATTTGCCCAAGTAGCATATCAAATGGCAGAGGTAAATACAGCTTATCTAGTCAGTATGAATACAAGTGCCTATAGAATAGGAGATGCAAATGACACTCAAACAGGGAATTAAAACAGGAGTTCCAATGGCAGACTGAAAACTCTGTGGAGCTGGGAGCAGGGGTAGCTTCTTCGAGATCCTACAAGATCACAGTCTGTGTTTGAAGGTGATATCCCATGCTGTGACAAACTATTTCTGCCTAGTTCTTCATACTTTGCTGCAAACCCTTCTGCCATGTACATCACAGCTCTAATCCATTATTTCCTTTATCCCGCTTCCTTCCTCCTTCTCAGCTTCACTGTTATCAAGGAACTGACAAAAGCTAAGAAATCAATTGCCATTCAGTCTACACTTTCACTTACACTGCTGATCTGAGGACCAGATGAGAGTGACTTCCTCTCCTATTTATGATACCAAATAGTGGCATGTGGTTATGCATTTAAAAAAAAAAAAGTTTAAGTAAATATTGTTACTATTCTGGTTATGAAGCTCCAAACATGATGTGTAAAAGCTTGTGAAGATAAAGAATAGGTCTACTGCCTCTATCTAAGAACATAGGATAAACATTTACTCTGTGTCCGTGTTTGTTGTACACTTACAGTTGAATTCCCATCTGGCTGCCTTTGTTCTTCAAGGTCTGTTGTAACAGACTGCAAAATGTTCAGGTCAGACATGTGCTCCAGACACTTGAGTATAAAATTCACCATTTTTCCTATCATTCCACGCTGTTCAACACAACCTTAACCAGTTCATGTCAACTTTACACACATGTCAGATACAAAAGGTGGGAACAGAACGTAAGAACAGAAAGGACAATGAGGCAAGAACCCCATTAAGTGTGAACATTGATCTTTTTCAGACAGATTATGGCTGTGACATTGAAAAGGGGAGTGTGTGTACTTATCATCCTGGTGCTGTGCATTGTGTAAGAGCCATTCAAGCCAGGTAAAGAACTTCTTTTAAGCCACATTTTTTTGGTTAATCCTTTCACCTCAGAGACATCAGCATCACAGAAGTCGGGGTGAAATCTAACTGGATATCAGATAAAGCTTGGCAAACAAAATATTTAGCTGTATCCATAAAAAGTCAGTAAGCAACCCCTAAATAGAAACATACCCCACAGAGCTAAATGATGATTTTCTTGCTGCTTTTCTCAATCAGTCCCCAGTATGGGGCTGGACAGCAGTGCTGCTATGACTCCACGGGAACCCAAATCCTCACATACGACTCCACCGGAGGCAGCACACCTGATCGAGGACACGACTGGGGCTCACCGCCTTTCTTGAAGCCTCCCCGGATACCTGGCTTTTCCCACTGGCTTTATGATGTTATCAGCTTCTATTATTGCTGCCTGTGGTCTGAGAATTGCGACTTCTATATGAAAAGGCGGCCCTCTAGTGACTGCAGGACGTACCGCCCTCCCCGAGCTGGTAAGGGCTCCAGAATTTCCTTAAGGAGTAGATTTTTCATAGTGTTGGCTTCTAGAATATTTGTATATGTGCATATATGAGTTGACAATGGTGAGGGTACAATGTTCTTTGGAAAAAAATCCATGGAAGGTTTCTCTTGATATATCACTTACAAAATCTGTATGTGTTTTTTAATTGTGCTGCAAGATTTTCTGATGTTGAGCATTTCACTCACCCCTGGAACCTAAACAGCCAAAGCAAAAAAAAAAGAGGTTAGAGATGGTTAATGACAGCTAGGAAGCAGCTAGAAAAGCTGTCATGGTGAGAAACATTCATATCAAACAAGAAAGTTTTACAATTTACAAGATGTCTGGTTTTCTCCTGCTTGCTTTTAAATCAGTCTTCAAGTCTTGCCATATCTCTGTTGCTACCACATTTTGCCTTCTATGCTGCTGAGATGCTGAGGTGTCCAGCAGGACTTGGCCTCCCATAAATAATTACCAAGAGGCAGAAGTTTGCATCAGGAAAAAAGGAGAAAACTGTAGAGGGCATTGCATTAGGTAGTTAGGGGTCATGAATGAATGGTCTGGCTGCTTAAAGAAACCCCATCAAAAGTATTGGCAGAAGTAGAGTTTGAATTTGTGAAAATACAACTTTACAACCTGATGGCAAGGTGCATTGTATTAGTTACTATACAGATTAAAGCATACAAAAGAAGATAAATTAGTAGGAACTTGCAGCAATTTACATGGAAGTTGGAAATGCAAAAAGGGATTAAGGGTGCAAAGGATATGGATGCAAAGATAAAGCAATAGCTCTGTACTCATGTCCAAATCTCCCCATAGATTGCATGTGACAGACTTCTCTTTCCTTTCTCATGAACTTGAGGAGTAACAGGTTGTGATTTTTGCTTGATCTTAATTCTCTTTTTGTTTTTAAAAATAGCATCTGCTTTTGGGGATCCCCATTTCTTTACATTTGATGGTCTGAACTTCACCTTCAATGGCCTAGGAGAATACACATTGGTAGAGTCTGATCTCACATCCCTGAGAGTGCAAGGGAGGACACAGCAGGCACACTTTCCCAATGGTAAGTTGGTAAGAGAGGAAGCAGAGCTTCTGAACTTCTGAGATTTGCAGAACTGAGATTTGATATTTGCTTGATTTGCACTTAGCATCAATCCTCCTGTCATCTCTAGTCTTCTTTTTTGGCCATTTGTGAATAGTCACCATTCTGAAGATAATCAGAAAGCAGACAACATCTTCAGGAAAAATTTCCCAATCAAAGTTTCATTGCTAGGTTTTTTATTGGGTGTGATTAATGGAAGTGTAAAGTTTTCTACTGTGTTTAAGAGCTCCAAAAAATTCTTATTTCTCTCCATGCCCATTCTCATCAATAAGGAAACAGAAGGCCAGTTCTAGAAATCAGGCAATGCCAGCTGATGCATTTTGATAGCATTGTTGGTTTTTTCCATTTGGAAGGAACTGGGGCTCAGGGGACAGGCCTGTCTGCAGTGGCCATGCAGGAGAACAACTCTGATGTGATTGAAGTGCGCTACTCTGAGGATTTGCACCTGGAGGTCCTCCTGAACCAGAGGGTTCTCAACTTCTCTGAACAAACTTGGATGGACTTGAAAGGTTAGTTACACATATCAGCCTTGTAAGCAATTCCATTCTGATGGAGCCCATGGATAGTTAAAGGTGTCTCTAGGTGCATGCATTTCAACTCTTTTCAGCATCCTTTTGTCAAGTGTTTTAGGTGGCTTCAGTGTCCGTGGTTTCTGTGTCCTCTTTCACTTGTTTGTAGTGTGAAGGTGTGGCTTCCCTTTAAATGTTTCTCAGAGTGCAGCTCAGAGTGGAAGGGAGGAAAAGCTCTATGAAAAAATGGTTAAAACTGATGATTTAAACTGATGCTAAAACACAGCATTTTTTTCACTGTAGATAATTAGCTGTTTTCTCTTCCTCTCATGGTTATAGGTCTCTTTCTCTATTCTACACCTGATCAGAACATCACAGTGATGTTCTCTTCTGGGTCTGGAGTGGAAATAAGGGGAAATGGAGGATTTCTGACCCTGACAATTCTGCTCCCAGAGAAGTTTATGAATCACACATGGGGTCTCTTTGGAGTAATGAATGACAATCCACAGGATGACTACACCTTCAAGAACAAAACCACCATGTCATTTCATGCAAGTCCCCAGCAGGTGTTTGAGTTTGGAGCTAGCTGTAAGTAATTTCTATGGTCTGTTATTACATTTTCTTTACAAATTTAAGACAGATTATGATTTAAGGACTAGGAAATTAAGTCTGTGCCAAGCAACCAGTACTGGGGGAAGAGAAGGAAGTAAGAGAAATGTGCCCTCCTCTACCCACCTGGGGAGTGAAAACAGAGCCATGATGGAATGTTGAGCACTTTGTACTTATATCTCTTCCAGCTCCAGCTACATCTCTGTAGATAAACACCTGCATTAATAGCAGAAGGTGGTCTGTGTTGGCAATGTTATACATGAATCTCTCTCTCTGTCTCCCAAGGGGCAATTGAAAATGGAACTTCTCTCTTTACTTACGACTCGGAGTTCTTACTGGACAGCTTCTTTTATGGGGACAAGCACAATGCCTCCTTCCTGCCCGTGTTCTCCCCTCATGAGGACCCTGCTGATCCCCTGCTAGAAGAGATAGTCTCACGCTGTGGCTCTGACCCATTCTGCAGATTTGATGCCCTGACAACAAGAAACCTTCAAGTGGGAAGTTCCACAAGGCTTTCCCATCAGAATCACAAGCTGCTGGTAGAACATCTAGAGCCAGGTGATACAACATTCCACAAAACATCATTACAGAATAACAGGATATTCTGAGCTGGAAGTGACCCACTGGGATCATCAAGTCCAAACCTTAAGTGAACAGCCCATAGGGAGCAGCACTATAGATATTTCTACTGGGCATCTAAAGAGTTAACACTGTTTGAGGAGGCTTTGCTTAACTGTAGGTTCATGCACCTATAAATAGTCTGATTTTGGGGAATCATCTTTGTACCAGGAAATCTCTGTACTGATAGAATACTTGGGCAAACTAAAAAAAAATTTCTTTGCATTTCTTCCACTATAACACCACAGTGTAGAAAGTTTATCTTCATTTTATATGCATTAAGCAGTATTGTCTTTCAGGTAGTTTAAAAATCTTTGTTTTTCCATGAGTTGCCACTAAAATTCTGTTTGAATCATTGTAATGGAGATTTGCTGGTCTAAGTCCTAAATACTCTAACCAGATATGTTTCTTTTATTAGTGATCTCTTGTGGCTGGCTGGATCAACCTACCAATGGAAGAAAGAATAGTACCAACTACCTGCTGGGCTCAACCATCAATTTCACCTGCAGTGAGGGCTATGAACTCACAGGAGGGTCACAGGAGAGAACCTGCCAAGTGTCAGGAATCTGGTCAGGGGACACACCCCAGTGCAGCCAAGAAACAGGTCTGTTGCCTTTTAGGTATCACATATTGTCACTAAAAAAATCATTATCAAGGACAAGGCAATCTCAGAATACCATGATGGCCCTTGACAAAAGCAACTTCTCTTACTTGGTAAAACATTGGACATGAGACGTCTGAATTTCTAGAAAGACTATTAATCAAATCTAAATAACAGGTGACTTAGGGTGGTTTTGTGTGTTTTGGGGGAGGTATTTTTGTTTTATCAATGGGTACAGGTACCTGAAGGGTGGGTGAAAAGAGTATGGAGCCAGGATTTTTTTCAGTGGTGCCCAGGGACAAGACCAGAGGCCACAGGCATGCTCTGAAGCACAGAAGCTTCCCTCTGAACATCAGAAAACCCATTTTACTGTGATTGTGACTGAGCACTGGCACAGAGAAGTTTGAATATCTCCCTCCCTAGAGATATTCAAAAGTTATCAGGTCATGGTCCTGGGCAACTCACTCTGTGTGGTCCTGCTTGAACAGGGGAGTTGGACAAAATAACTTCCAGAGGTCTCATCCCACCTCAGCTGTTCTGTGATTCTGTGATTCAAGAGCAGACACAGCCCACACTTGTTGAACTCTTTCACTTTTTCTTTCTAAAATATTATCTTATCTCAAAACATAATTCTATTATTCTATAGCAGTAAAATATTGTGAATGATGCAATAGTATTTAGTATAAATAGCACAGATTTATTCCCCCTCTTGTGTCACTACTAATAGATTATCAGTTAGCCTGGGATTGTTGGATTTAGTAGCAGTTTAGTAGCATAGGCTGTCTCTATGATTTACAGAAAATGGCCCAAAATTTTCTTTTTATTCATTCACCACATACACTCCAAATGTCCTCAAGATGGCAATATTTCAAAGCACCAGGGTGGTGCAAGGCCAGATGGCATGTTGAAACACTTTCAATGCTGAGTTAATAGCTCCCAAAAGCACTCATCAAATAATTCATACTAACAGATTCTCCATTCCGAGACCCTTCCAAAGAAATGTGGGAAGTGCATTTCACATCAGCAATGAATTCCTGTCATGCTGGCACATTTCATCAGCCTCTGCTGCCTGTACCAATTGCTTGTACATTTCCAGTGCAGTTCTCAACTTAGTAATATTTGTGAGATGAACTGCAGTGAGTTTGGGCAGCAGAAAAATTCACAAAGGCCAGATCTTAACTAGGCAATGGCAAAACTTTCTGCCAAGCTGAAAGCTAAGAATATTTTTCCGCTGCTGCCATCAACCACATACATACTGGATAAGAGCCAGTCAGTCTCAATAAGCAAAACAGATGCTGACATTTACACTAGCAAAAGGGGGACAGAAAGGCAGCCCTGTGAGATCAGAGGAAAGGAGCTGGAAGATATGCAGGGATTGATTGCATTCAGAATGATAGAGATGTGACACAGCTTTGTGGTAAGCAAACAAAACCCACAATGTTTCCCAATGCTTTCCTGGAAGGTGACAAAGAAAAACAAGGTGTGAAAGAATTTTATTGATCTGATTGCAACAAAGACCTTCCTTACTATTTGATATTTGATGTTCTAGTTTTTGTAATGTGAACCAAAATTGATGGTTTTTATTAGCTGCAGGAAGTTGGAGTATGGCAATGCTGCCCACAGCAGCAGGATGCTGACAACACCAACAACTGAGCAACACAATATAAAATACAAATTTCTCTATTCTTTTTTTCTTACTGCTATGCCCTACTAGTGGCATTTATAGCTAGCCTTGCTTTTCTTTCTTCCATAAGGTGCTCTGCTAGATGTCAGTGATTGTTTGTGAAGGCTATTCTATTGACAGGCCCAGGTCTCTACAGAGAAGAGAGACAATACAGTTCAAAGTTTCTTTCACTAATATCTAAACTTCTCATAGTTTTATAGCATGGACAGCTAGTACTTGCTTTCCAGTAAATACATTTCTGCCCCTGGCCCAAGACACAGCTGAAATCCAGTGCCAGTTTTCCTTGTCTTACTTCTCTACTTGGCTATTTTCTCTATTCTCCATCCCCCAAGCCTTCTCTTCTCCAGAACAGAAAAGGTCCTTGTATTGTCAACATCTATTGTTCCTGAAATCAGTTTTCTTTATTGTTTTCCTCCTTACACAGCAGCATGCTGCTGCTTCACCAACATCCATTTTATCAAGTCCTGTGATAAAGACCTTCTTGACACCAGGAAAATGCTGACAAAATTAATGGGCAGCCCTTCCCAATTTCTGGGTGCCTGAATGGGCAACCACTGACCTAGCCACTGTGATCAGCAGTCACTTTTTACTTTGAAAGTGAACTATAAACACACACTTTGTCAAGTTATTTCTTTCATGCTGCTCAGGAGCACAGGGCCCAGCCCTCTGTAATTCTAAGCTTACAGGTGTATTTCTTTACAGTGCTGTGTCCATGACACTGCAGTTTTGTGGCACATCAGGTTCAAGCTCTGTCTTGCAAATCATCAAGGTTTTTTAATTGCTATATGCCTTTTCAAAAGAGAATATTTAAAATAAAGGTATGAGAACCAGGAAAATTGGATAGAAAAAGAGGCGGAAACAAGAAAAATGTAATGTCAGTTATTTAACAAAATCCATTTCGGTATTTTGAAACTTCAAATACAAATTATGTTGTTGGGCCTGCATATTGTTGTTTTTGAGTTTTGCGTCCTTGGACTAAAGTTTCCATGGAAATCCTCTGCTAATAATTATTTTGCTATGCTTCTAATTACAATCCCACTGCAAGTCTTGCCAGTACCACAGCAAGCTCTCTTCACAGAATATCACAAAGAGGAAGAACAAAGAAGCCATCCAGCAAAAGCAAAAAGGAGATTCTAGTAAAATGAGATGTAACATCCAGCTAAAAATCATAGGATAGTGGCAGCATATGTACATAGAGTCTTTTTGAGATAGACAATATGGTGATATTAAGGACAATCTAGTTTTGTTTGTCTTTTGGGTTACATTCTCCTTTCTCCCCCTCCTCCTCTATTCACTTTCAGATTTCCTTTTCCAGTCTCAGGCTCTGTGTAAATGCTGTTCATTTTGAAAAGCTGTCAGAAATCTCATTAGTCTTCTGTGTTTTTTTCAAACACAAAGATTTCACAACAGAGGCAATTCACTACTGGACTAACTACTTTAGCCAGTGGTGGGCTCTCATCACTTGGCAGAGACTGGGTGAAGGATGTGTAACACAAACATTAAGCCTTGTTAAGAAGCTACTGGATGATGGACCAATGCTTGTGAAACAGTTTATGTATCCCATTTCTTTCCTTAAACTTCACTATAAACCAAATCAGCAGCTCAATAATCTGTTCTAGGATCATAGCAGTGTCTGTTATGCCATCACTGTGTGCTAGGCTGTGGGTTGGGCAGGTGTGACAAAGTGATGGAAGGAAGGGCTGACAAAAATGCAGCCCTGATGTATTGAGGCTCAGATACAAAATGCAGGAATCATTGTTTCTCCCAGACAGTTCACTCCACATGCTGCATCTCTTAACTTTTACAAATATTCTTATATGGTAATCTACCACTTCTTAGTAGAATAAGAAAACAAAATTATAGTTTTTATTCAAAATTTTTTTCATATCTGGTTTCTTTCTCTCTTTCAGGTGTCCTGGTTAGGCAGTCACAGAATCAAGTTGACACTTTTCGTGTTTTAGTGTGTTCAAACTCTCTGATGCAGTTCAATGTACCCACATCAGAGCACTCACTTCTCTTTTATGCAGATTATTAAGCAGCAAAGGTAGTTTCAAAATTTAATGCCAAAATAGGGGCAATATTTAAAGTAATCAAACCGTATGGAATAAGGATTGGAAACCATTACAGTTGTTGAGATTGACAGTTCCACATCAGTATTGCACATTCAAAATGTTGACTACATATTAACCACTAGCCATCCTTTGCGTTACAAAGCTTTTGCAGCCACCTGCCCTAACAGTTAAATGTAGGAACTCTGTGAGGTCCTAATCTTTACCAGTTTCAGATAATCTGAAAGGGTAAAGGGTTGGAAGGGACCTCTGGACATCATTCAGTCCAATCCCACTGCCAGGGGAGGCAGTTCCACAAAAAAAGAGAACAGAAAAATTAACACTACATGTACAATTTCAAAAATTGTCATGCAATTGCATTCAAACAGATATGAAGAAATGTATATCAAAGTCTTCATGGGGTTTTTTTGTGGTTGGTCTCTGTTTTTCAGCTATCAAACAAGTAATTGTTATTGGCACTGTATTTGGATTAGTGGGCCTTGCAGTCCTGGGACGTCTGGGTTATTTATGCACAAAGAAGAGGTAAGCCTTGACTGAACTGAAAACACAAATGAACCTCCTAAAGAAATAGCAACTGCTATGACTTTTTAAACAATTATTTAGTAATGACCACTGGCAACAAATTGCCAGTGTGCTACAGGTTAAAAAAAGGTGCAACTGATGTATAAACACTTAACTGTGTGTGAAACTGACTAGTGGAGAAAGAGGGCAGAGTAGTGAATGAAAATGGTTTTGCCAGGAATACTGGTGGTGGGTTGAAATGGAGATATGGTTGATTTTCTGAACTTTGTTAGCAACTGTTACAAATTTTTAATCCTTCTCTGTTCCAGTGTTCACAAGTAATAGAATGCCAGCTAAAATGGAATCGAAATTGAGTGAACGGAAACAAAATGAGGTTCCAGCCCTTGGAAAGAAGACTCTATGTGTGAGGAAGAACTAAATACTTCTGAACCTGTCACAAAAAAAAAGCACAGTGCCAAGCTAACAGAACACTGATATTGCTTTTCAGTATTTCATCACTTAAAAATGCTACATTCACTACAAATTCAGCTCAAAGAAACTAGAATGTGGCATATTATGCTGTGATATTAAAATTTATGTGTAAAGCCATGCTACTATATGAAGACCATTTTTTGCTTTCTATATATGTCACAAAGGCCAAAAGAAATGCAAGCATATTTTCCCTCTCAAAATCAACTTTATATGGCAGGAGATTTCTGTGTGCTAAAAGTGAGATGCGTCCACACTGTGTATTGATACAACAGTTAAGGCCTACAAACTGTATTTTGATTGTTCCCCTTTAGAATAGCAAATTGTTCTCTGCCTGTATGGGTTGCTATTTGATTAAACAGCAGTGTTGTAAAGGGGGTACAAGGATGTACCTTGTACAAAGGATGTTTGCCCTATTTCTGTTCCTGACAAAGCAACTTTTTAAATGGTTTTTAACTGTTAGTGTGAGGGGTTTGTCATTTTGGTTGGTTCTTAGCAAAGCTGTTCTACCATTATTTAAATGTCTCACAGACCAGGTAAAGACTTTGTAAAAGTTTAGGCGATTGCTTGACATTACCACCCTGACACTTTGTCCTTTGGGATCTTCATGTAGATGAAAACAAACAAACAAAAACTCAAACCAAACAAACCACCAGTCCAAACCCTTTCTTTCTGCACGTGCATTTTCAGAAAGCAGCGATGTTCCTTTCGGTCGGGAGCTGCTGGCTGCTGTGTTTGTGTTTTTTGTCGCTCTGGGTGTGTGTTGCGCTGTAAGCGTGGGTGTCCCCTCACGTCCCCGTGTCCGTGCCCGCCCGCCAATGCCCCGGGTCCCTGGCCGTGGTGGGCTCCTGTGGCTGTGTGTTCCTGTCTGTGTGGCTGTCTGCGCGGCTGTGTTCCTGTTTGTGTGTCTGTCTGTGTTCCTGTCTGTGCGGTTGTCCCTGCCACCCGCGGCCGGGACAGCCCGGCCTCAGCTCCGCCCGCCTCGGGACGCGGCCTGCGGGGGACACGGCGGCTTCAGCAGCCGCGCTGCTTTCTGCCAGCGCCCCCCGGTCACTCCTGTGGGGCGGCTGCTCTGCCTTTTCACTTTTAGAACGACGCCCCAAATGGCAGCGTGCGGTGCTGGCACCTCGCCGCCCGCGTCCCTCAGAAAGTTTGCAGTGTTCTCTCCCTGTGCCGTGTCCGTCTGTGCCTTTGCGGCTTCAGGAGAGGCGAGCCGGGCTGCACCTGCGCTCGCCCATCGGCTCCGACACCCTCAGGGGGAGCCCAGCCGGGCAGGGGCAGCGCCAGGCCCCGGGGCTGACGGGCTCTTGCCCGACCTCTTCCGCGGGACACTTGGGAGTGACGAGAGCAAGGCTTGGGTCGCTGCTGGGATGGAGGAGTCTGTGTGTTTGTGCGTGTGTTTCTAGTGAGGCGTCCCGGCTAGCGAGGAGGGCTCCGCGGGGCCAAAGCGCTGCCCCGGGGCGAACAGCACCAGCCCGAACGTGTCGGTGTCAGAAGTGGAAGCGGCAGCCCTGCGGTCCCGCGCCGCAGCAGGTTGGGATGTCGGTCTCTATCCTTTCCTGTCACATGGCTGGTAATAGGATCCCTCATCTGCCACTCGGCACCTCGCCGGGGCGCACTTACAGGACACATGCTGTAGGGCCTCCGCTTCCCGCACTTTGCGCTCTTCCCGGCCGCCTGCCACCCCCGGAGAGCCGGGGCTGCCGCCTGCGAGCGCGGCGCGGCCCGGCGGCCGCTGCCTATGGAGCCTCCCGCCCTCGCCGCCGTCCTGGCCTTCTCCGGGCTGGCGCTGAGCTGCTGCCGAGAGCCCGTCCTGTCCGGTGAGTGCCGCTCCGCGGGGAGCCGGGAGGGGGGCGCGATCGGGGCTGCTCCCCGAGCTCCCGGCCGGGCTGAGCGGTGAGGGAGCGGGGCAGCCTCTCCCGAGCTCCGCAGCCCCCCGCGGAAGGGCTCTGCCGGCCGGCAGCGCCTCTTGGAGGTCGCGACAACGTCCCTTCCTGCTCGGCTGAGCCGTGCCGGGCTCGGAGCTGCTGGTGCGAGCACCCAGCGGGTGTTTCTGCCTGGAGTCCCGGCGTGCTTGAGGCTCTCCCCGTGCTTGCTGTACTGGGAGCTCGGAGTCTCCTATAAAAGCATGATGTGAGAGAAAGAAGAGCAGCACGTTTCTCTATAAAAGTGGTTCGATCTGCGGAATGGAGGCATTTAAAGGGAGAGGGGCGTGCGATTGTTTGTGTCACTGGGGAAAAAGCTGGGGCAGCAGAGCCGGAGCTGGAAGGGTGAGCATCCCGCCTGTCCGCAGTGTGCTGCCCCAGCTCCCGGCCAAGCCTGGGCTCCTCTCACCATGTAGAAGCCTGCAGCTTCGCTTCCCAAGGTGATTTTTCTCTTAAAATTTCTCAGCAGCCTTTTGTCCTCGTTTTAGTTGTTACTAATGATTTCAAGTACTGTGGTTCTCCTCTGGTAAACATTGGCCATGATTTGCAAGATCAGAAGTGGCAGTTCCAGATGGTCACAGCCATCAGATGTGTGGTCCTTCTGGATACGTTTTGTGTATTCTTGATTGCTGTCTCTTCTGACAAAGTAGAATTTGCTCTCTTTCTTTTTGAACATATACTTGCTCATCAAGTTTTTGTAGATGCAACTAATTAGATACGGAAAATACTTGCATAGTGATTTTCAGGGACTAAAAAATCTTTTACAAAAAAGAGTTCTGGTAAATTTTACTTCTTCTCAGAAGTAAAACATGAAAGTATTTTCAGATAAGCATTTAGAGAGCTGCCTAGACAGAGACCATGTCTAAGAGTCTTTTCCCAGTACCATTAGGACGTGCTTGGTGCACTCAGTGGATGCTCCTTCCTTTGCTTGGCTTGAAGAATGTTTGCTTGTAAGGTTTCTGAACAGAGCACTCCATGTGTAGCCATGTCTCTCACAGAGGGCTGTGTGACAGCCAGTGGAGGATATAGCCCAGTGTGAATGTTTGGCTGTTAAAGAGGACAGAAATGCCTGAGCACAAGCAGCTGGGGCAGGGGGAGGAGGGAAGGGTATATAATGCCTCCAAAAGAAAGTGCAGCAAAGGAGAACGGATCTAGAAAGCACTGCCACCCATGTGTCTTCTGCTCAAGAACCTGGAAACAGTGCAAATACAGCAACTTGTAATTTGCATGGCAAGTGCAGGATCTGCAGAGTTCCTGATCTACACAAGGTACACATCAGGGTCTTCATCTTGACCCTGAATCCCACAGAACTGAAACGGATCAGCTGTGTCAGGTTGCACTTGAAACTAGCAGAATTCTGAAATGACAAACATTACTATTGCTTTTGGAAGGCAGTTTGTTGTATGGTATGTTTTTAATGCCTGTTCCTTGTTTTGGTTTTTTAATGCCTGTCCTTATAAGCTTATTGTAAAGTGCAGTCAAAATAAAAACTGTGTCACCATCACTTGCTAAGATAGGAGAAAAACTTCAGGAATTCCTATATGAGAAATTACTCCGGTTGTCAGAAATGAAAGTGAATTAACAACCATTTTTGCACATAGTATTATGGTACTTTCCACATAATGTTTCTGCTTTGCCATGCAATGTTCAACAGTTTCTATTAACTCAAACACTGATATTTCTGCATTCAAACCTTGGCATTTGTGCATTCAAACATCAGCCATACATAATTTCTCAAGTGGATCAGAAATAAGAAGTGTGTGGGTAGATTACCTGCCATTAAAGCACTGTTTGAATTTGGTGAGTTTTGTGTTACAATGCCAAAAAATGGAAATGCCTTCAAGCAAACGTTAGTTTTGGTGAACAAATGTTATTTTATATACTCAGTGCAATAAGTTGTAATTTCTACTTTCTGTATTTATACCATTCATTTAATTTCCCCATCAGAAATGTATGTGATTATCAATCTCTTTTTCCTTTCTCTGTTTTCTTTCCATTTAGCAATACTGAGTCACCATGTCCTTGGTTTTTTTCCCAGCTGAGTCTTTCCTTTGAGCTGTTATTCCAGCCTTCTCTTACAAACCTGGTATCTCTTGCCATCTTATTCTCTCTAAGCCTCGGTGATTCAGAGAAGCAGTTCTACTTGATATGCCATAGGCAAGCCTCATAAAAATACTTTAAAAAGCAATTTTTTATTTCTTTCTAACTAGGCAGATAGGGGATGAAACAGTCAGGCATTTCAGCATATCATGCTTGTACATGCATAGAGCATAACTCAAAATCCAGAGTTATGTGAATAGATTTATGCAGGATGGAGCCAAAGAAGTAGGAGGGAGGCAGGGATTACTTGCTGCCAGCTGCAAAATTTTCATTTTTGTCATATCACACCACAATGGTTGTGCAACTGACCACTCCCTTCATCCACACAGTGGCTATGGCCCATCCTGATCAAATTGCCAAAGGGATTCAGCCCTGCCACACTTGACAAGGGAACAACAGTTTGAAAACTTCACAAAGAAAGAAAACAAATGGGTGTATTAAGGAACAGAAATTCTTACGGGGTCACATCACACATTCTTACTTCCAGTGATAAAGAATCACAAGGCAAGCAAGTGTGTTTGCATCTTGTGGCTGAGGACCAGCCAGCAGCTGCAAAGCTCTGGCTAATATAGCATGTTTGTATTGTACAAATAAAAAGACAAAAGGGACAGAATGCACTTAGAAATAATGGGAGCTGTCTCTTGTGCTCATAACCTAACTCGTCTGCTTCCAACATATTCCAGAAAAGGTCTGGCCGGACAGATTTTTTTTTTTTTTTAACAAATAAAAAGTGATGAAAAGTGATTCGCTTGACGATTAGAGTCAAAATTTCACAAGGATAACAAGTTCACATGTATGACAGCTCACACACTGCCAGGGAACACAAGTATCAGCTCTGCATGTCTGTACATTTCCAGGAATGTGCATTTTTACAAGACAGATGCTTCAGTCAAGGTTTGAGCAAATCTCAGGTGGCATAATTCAAGTAGAATCAGATATTCACTGTGGCTACTCTCTGGCTCGGACCAATGCTAATTAGGTCTCTAATTCTGACTAGCAAAAATGATTGCATTTGAGGACTTTCAAAAATTAAATGTGTATGTCTGTGTGTGTGTGTTTGCATGGATGTGTAGAATGAGCAGATACAATTCTGAAACTACATATGGAGTGCCCCCACATTGTAAAGGAAAAAATGATCAGCTAATCAAGTGCCCTCATAACATCACATCAAAATTTAACTGTCTGATTTAAGAAATGGGGAGTTGTTTCTAGGAATTTAGAAAATTGCTATTTTAAACAAAGATAATTCTTTCATGATGGTTTTTCTTTAGCTTGTATCAACTGTTCTATTGTGGGAGGTTCTTGCTGTTACAGCACAGGCACAGAAGCCTGACAGTTTTGATGAGTGGTTGTATTATATTAGTATGAATTGGAATAGAAAAGTATTGAAATGCAAAAATAGTACACTATTTTTTTACTTGGGTAGATCTAAATCAGCCTTATACTTCCCAAAAGCATTTATTTTGCATCATAATATGGAATGAGATTTTCTTTTCCTGACCACTCTTATGATAGTATGCAAATTAACTTTTGGTTCAGTCGATAAAACTGCATCTTCAAAGAAAACCATTGCAATGCTAAAAATATTTTTAATAATGACCACAGAAGCCGTATTTGTGTCTTTCATCTCCTGAAGCTTCTTCTGGTTTTAATCAGTGTTCCCACATGAAGAACTGTGGCAACCTATGATAATAGAATCCCTATTCACATCTCTAGGGAAACAGCAATGTTCTCATTTGAAGAAGGTGATGTGGTGTTCTGCCCCTTCCACCCGTGGGCCCCTGCCTCTGTCACTGCCGGGGTATCTTGGCATCACTTAAGTGGTTTCTGTCCTTTCCTCTGTGCATTACTTTCTCATTGAAGTGTTTCTGCTGTCTAATTATACCCTTTCAATCAAATTAGAGACTGCAGCATCTGGTTAGTGCCTGTAACTGTTGCCATCTGCACCTAGATACAGTGCTTCCATTTAAGGAGGATTGCTTAAATTGCAATCTCCAGCAAGAGCTAGAACGGTTTAGATAGAATGGAAATGACTTAAAATTATTCTTGGAATACTCTGCAAGCACATGCATCAGGCAACCCACACTGAGTCATTATCGGACCTGGCACCCTTGGTTTCATACCCTTATATTCTCCTTAAGCATTTTTCTGACTTCTCCAAAAGGCTGTAGGAAAAACAAGTGAAAACTGAGCAGGCAGTTATACCACGAAAATTCAAGGAACCTTTAATTTTTGGTCCAACCTTACATTTAATTACAATGCTGTAATGAAACCCAAGATTTAAATAGTAGCCACTTTCATTTATCTTTCATTAATCTGCAGATCTTTAAAAGAAAACCTTGCTTATTGTTGGGCAGTAGGTGGTAGGATAATTTCTGGCTTGGGTAGGCTAGTTTCAGGTTGATAATTGTTGTCAGTCTCTCTGGACACTGCTCAATGCTCCAAGTAGCTTTGAAAACATTAAGCAAACAAAGTGGTTTGGTTTGTTTTTTTTCCTCTCCAGTGGAATAGGAAGAAGTTTGTCATTCTGAATTTTCAGTCTCAAAAGCTATGTACAGGCCTCAAACTTGGAAAGTACTCTAAGAAGTCATTTAAACCACCCTGAAACCTCCATCCCTTCAGTCTGCAATTTGTAGTGTCTCTAGATAGATGTCTTTGAGAAAATCATTGGAAGCCAGTGCAGACTCTGAAATGCCAGTGATTTATCATCAATAAAACATCAGGCTGTTATAGTCTGCACTACCTTAATTTTTCAAATGATCCTAAAGTGGCGCCCATGTGGAGTGCAGGCAGCCATGCAGTCCCAAAGTAACAAAGGAAAATGATCATTGTAAGGTCCCTACATTGAAGAAGAAACCGACACAGATGGAAAGAATTTCTACAACAGCTGCTGTTTGATCTTCCAAATGTTGATCTGGCTCTAATAAAACTAATTGTGAACCTGTATCACACACTGAGTATTCACTTACAGTGGACAACATCCCTAGTCTTGTTTTCTGCTTTTTTTGTTCTAGCAGTTGTCACTCAGTACATGCTTACCTAGCCTCAGCATTCATTTTAAAAGTTACTTGCTGTCAACCATGGCACCTGATGTGTTGAAAACTAAACAGCCCTGACAACAAAGTGCTGTCCCTCTTTTCTCATCAAGGCTCATGGACAGCATCTGTTGGGACCTTTTGTGACTAGAACCACTGCAAAGGTTCTCTGATTAATTATCTCTGATTAATTCTGTTTACAGACATCCCCATGACACAGCAGAAGCAGTAGGGTCATTAGGCAGTTAATTGAGTGAAATCATCATGGACACTGATTCTAATCACAGATTTGACATAAGCCTCTACTTCAGACTATGTCTGAAACCCCGCTGACTAAGATCTTAGAAGTATGAGGTCACACACTTCTAGATTTGAGTGGTCACAGCTTTCTTCATGTCCTGTCTGAAACCCTATTGTTTTAGTAGAGGTTTATAGCTGACAGGATGATCTGAGCCTTGTGTGCCTGAACAAAATCCATGTGGCAAATCTATCAAGCACAGTGGCAACCTGATGCCTTCTTGGGGGGTGTAGTGTCCCCACGGTGTCTGTCCTTGCCACTGGGAGAGGATTTGAATACAGTGCAAGTTCTGCCACAGTTTACCATAATCTTACAAAACTTTAAGGAATAAGGCTTGCTGAAATTCCCAGAACCATATGAATTTTCTTGAGGCACAGTTCTGATGGTACATTCCAAGTGAGAGGCTTTATACCCTAAAGTGTCATGGGAGTGTCACTCAACCTAAGGGTGCCACGACACAGAGGTGGTTGTTGCTGCTTGATTTACTCCTTTCCCCCTCCCTTTTGCATAATCTACTAAAGAGAAATCAGATTTGAGTAAGCTGAAAAACTTTCCCAACAGCGTTCAGTCCAGTCTTTTCTGACTGTTTAGTTTAGATGACCTCATCTGAATTCGTTTTGTGCAGACAAATCCAGGTGACCTTTTTTTAAGCTCATCTTTTCATAGAATTATTGCACCAGTGGTACAAAACCAAAAGTAGGGTGGAGGTTCTAACCTCCTGTTCTCCAGAATCTCTTAGGGCTTGGATTTGAAATCGAGAGGACAGTGGCCTTTCTGGAGACAAAACATGCACCTTCAGCACTTTGAGAGTATTAATTTCATGGTGAAATCACTAAGGTAGTGTCTTGGCTGTCACACAGCAGAATATGATGAAATCACTGTGTGTGACAAATAGAAGAATTTTTTAGTTGTTGCCAAGTAGTGCTTACTCTAAATCAAGGACTCCTCAGTTTCCCATGCTTAGCCAGTGAGCTCAAGAAGCCAGGAGGGAGCATAGGAAGGACAACTGACCTGATTTTCTGAAATGCCAATATTTATTTGAAAATATTGCACTCCCATGCTGTGGCAAAATCGTTATTAATCCTTAAGAAAATCCAAATCCCCTGTAACCCAAAAGGTTTTGTATTTCATTTGATAACAGCTGCTAAATTCCATGACTTAAAGTTTTCATTTCAGTGTTTCAGGGATAATCAATGATTTTCTATGGTATCTCACTGCCTCCCCTTTCCCCATCCACATCGAAGCCAGAGGAGCTTTGTTACTCAGCTGAAACATTTGCACCAAATCTCTTGATAGCACAAAGGAGCACAGGAGGCACTGATACAGCTACCCATTGTCTGGGGAACAAAAACTGCAGTTAAGAGGAATGAGGAGAGATAGGTAGGCTAGATAGGTAGGCTCTGACTCTACCTTTTCTTTCTTAAAGTGCAGTGGAGTTTGAAGAAAACCAGTTAAAAAAGGCTAACATGAAAATGTAAGTCCCTACTGCAAGTTAAAGCATGGGCCAGTCTTAGCATATCCTAAAATGGACTGAAGTTAACTTGAGTTTAGTTTGTGTGCCAGACTAAATTCAGGTATTGTAGCATTCCTTAAATTTCTGAGTGTATGGAAATATATATTGCTTTTCATTTAGGAGTGAGAAGTGAAAAAAAAAATAAAAGCACAAAGCTAATGTAGATATCTTTTCTGGATGTGCTTATCACTTTTCACAGATTCTTTTTTCTGCTTATTATTTTGTTTATATTTTGATTACATTTTTCTCTCTTTTCTGCTAAAATTCATTAGCTTATATTTTTCAGCTATAACGTACAAAAGCTTTTATATTAACTGGAAAGCAAAAGAGTTATTGAAGAAAGTTGCAACACAGTCATGACCTTAAACTGGATTTTTTTCATGTTTACACAAATATCTGTGGTAGCCTGAATGCTGGAAATTCAGATTTGCATTTTTAAGCAAATGTCTGCAGCCCACCTGTTTTGCTAAGGCAGGTAAATTACAGTAAGGAGGAGTATTGACCTGAAGCCTGTTTTTCTTAAATTATACACTTTCTGTCCACAGATGATAGCAGAATATATTAATGGCTGTGCAGACACCTCTTCTATGTGCCTTCAGCAACAAAATTTCATTTAATAGAAATCCAAACTTGCCTAGGCATGAAAATGCACAGTGAAAGCACAAAACCATTGTCTTTCATCTGCTGTGTAATAGAATTCTGAAATAATTATTATAATTGTACCATTCTGATATTTGTGAGCCCAGACTAAACTAATTTCAGAGGCATGGTTTTAATATTCCATTTTTCCTTCTTCTACAGTAGTTCTAAATACAAAAACAGTATACTATTAATATCAAGATTAAAATGTGGGTGGGTTTTTTTTCCCTCTTCCAACTGCAGCCACACAGGTCTTTCTAGACTTGTTTTGTAAGTTAGATTTCATGAGGGACACCTGAGATCAGCACATACTTCAGAGCACTCTCCCACTCCCTCAGGGCAGTTGAACATCTCTGCAGCTGCAACATGGTTTCTACAGAGAACATTATCAGATGAAATGGGAGGTTTCACACCCTATAGTTAGCAGAAAGTTAATTTTCAATAAATTTCACCAGTAATGCTGTCCAGTACAAAAAAAATATTTACAGCAGTGTAACACAACAATTTTAATTCTGTCCCAGACTGTTATGTTTTAATCCTATTCTTACAGAAATGCAAGGATGATAAATGTTAGCAACTATTAATTATAAGCAGGATGGACTTGTTTATGGTAAACTAATTATAATGATTCTTCCTGGGAGCTAATCACAGAATGGCTGAGATGAAAGTGACCTCTGGAGGTCACATTGTCCAAGTGCTGTGCTCAAGCACAGTCACCTAAAGCAGGTTGTCCAGGGCCACATCCAGGTGGCTTTGGAATATCTCCAAGGATGGAGATTCTACAGCCTCCCTGGGCAACTTGTTCCCATGCTCTGCCACACTCACATTGCATAATTTAATCAAAAATGCTTGGCGATTTCAGCAAAAGTAGAATTGTTCATGCATTTGGGTATTTATTTAATCAGAAGAGTCCAGTGAATGTGTCCATGTCCATGGCAGGGGGGCTGGAACTGGATGATCTTTAAGATCCCTTTCAACCTGAAGCATCCTACAATTCTGTGAATAACAAGCCCCAGCAAAGTCAGGCAGCAGGAAATTTGTAGTTCAGCTGAGAAGGAGCTAAGGTATTTAGCGAAATCATTCTCTACTTTGGTTTCTAACTTGCTGAGTATTAGGAGGCTAGGAAAACAAATGTGAGTGGGAGAAAATATGAGTGAGGCAGAAGAATACTGACCCATACTTTTTAATCTGAAAGCATAAATGCTTTAGTAGCAAATCACAGTATTGTGATCATACTCTGCTGTAGGAGGTCCCTTTCTAAGGCAACTCAATCCATAAGAATTTTTCTAAATCAGAATGCAAATGTTGGTAAGATCCATGCTTACAAAGTCTTTCCCTTTGTAAAGTACAGATAGTCACAACTTCAGCTGAAGTGGCATGAGATTTTGGTTAATATGCTGATGAGTGGCAGACTGATAATTTCATATGTTTTCACTTTTGGAAAATTAACAGGAGTCATCCTAATGAGTAAAACACAAGGAAACGTAAAAGTATAAAAGTATTATGCATATTCATAAAATGCATGTTAATTGTGTAAACCTCTCATCAGACCTGTCTCATACGCTGTTTATTAAAGTAATGACAGCATAATCTCTTGAATAGAGGTTTCACTGAGAAAGCTTAAATCTTAGCCAGCATCTTTAGCTACCTAAACAATGCAGGAAGCACGGTCTATTGGATATGGGGTGGAGGGTGAGGAAAGTACAAACACTAAACCTACACACATTCTTTCTTTCCCATTTCTCTTTCTTGCCAGAATGCTACACAGCCAACGGGGCTGACTACCGTGGCACTCAGAACCAGACCTCCCAATATGCAGGGAAGCCTTGTCTTTATTGGAATGAGACCTTTGAGCATCCTTACAATACTGTGAAATATCCCAATGGGGAGGGAGGGCTTGGAGAGCACAACTACTGCAGGTAAGAAATATCCCATTGCTTAACATTGCCTCAATGCCCACTGTTACTGTAAGCAGTTGACAGAAAATTAGGAAATGTCCTTTTACACAGTGAAGAATATCAGAACCATGGGTATCTTAAACTTTTTGGTTTACCCTGTTATCAGTACCCTGAAGCTATCAGCACCATTACCAGCATAACTTTTTCAACCCAGCTCCCACACTTTTTCAGTACAGTCCCTATCATGCGTCCAATTTATAAGGTGGCAATAGAGAAAGACTATAGATTACTTAAATGAAAAGGTGGAGATAAAAAAAAAAAAATCCAAATTAGAAGTACACAGTGCAGTGAGTGTCTGGAGGAGTCTCTGGATGGTTTTTATCCTCACACACAAGCCTGGTTCTGTTACACTTCCCAAGTTTTGTGCTAATGAAAGTTATGTAGTGCCTAAAAATTCTAATTGAGTGATTTAGAGTTATTTGAATTCAGAAGCTCATCTGTCAGGGGTTACAATACCAGATTAAACCATGGATTAAGTGCATTAAAACATGCACTTCTGTTTCCTTGCCTTCTAGAGAAACTCCTCCATAACTATGGGTAGAACTTAGAACAAAACTTAAATAAGAACTTCAGAATTTAGGAGCCAAATCAGAACTTAAGTTCAGAGATGTTTAGGCACTGTAGGCTTTTTTTCAGCTGTCTCAGTAGGCATACTAATACAGAGCTGTGCAAATATAGTGGTTACTGAACTCTCTTTGATACTAATAGCAGAATCAATAATGTAATTTTGATTGTTGCTATGTGGCAATATTCTAGACAGGCTGTAGCTACAGGATCTTAGTTTTGGCAGTCATCTCTGGCTAATATTTTGGTTATTACAAAGCAAAACATGTACAAGCTGAGCAAAAACATGCATGAGAAACTGGATGTTTATCCAGATACTCAAAAAACAGTTACTTGAGACTTGCTTTGCTTAGCAAATGAGAACTTGGTAAATGCTACAAGGAGCAAGAAGCCTATAATCTGATATGTAAACCTGAGAAATCACTTAATTACAAAATACAGCTTTTTCACCTGAGTCTGCTAAGTATTAGATTATCCTCATTTTCTTTCTTATGCTGTGTCACTTGGCCTAGAAGTATTCTCACAGGTGTATGGAATGACAGTCCTAAAATGGATGACTTTTAACTTCACATTCTCTTGAAAGAAAGTTTGGAAAGTCACTAGAAGTGCCAGAATATATCTATAACAAATGTTGCTGAGGCCTGTGATACAGCTGGTTTAGCTCTTTCTCTGACATTCATCTGCTTGATGACAATGGACAAGTGGATTTTCCCTTTTCTCAGGCAGCACATACCTCACAGGGCTTTTTTAGGCATAATACATGGCCTTGAGATTTGAGTTTTGGGGACAACATTTGAATAATCAAATTTTACACTTGAATATTAATCAGAAGCATGTTGCCTCTCCATGGGTGGTCCTTACTTGGAACACTTTGTTTACTGCAAGACACCCTGTTAAGATGGAAATGCCTCACTCACTTCAACCATAACAAAATTATGAGGACTGAAATTCTTGGAGATTTTAAAAGACAGAGTTGTTTTCTAACTGCCATGCACTTCTGAGGTTGAAGACAAAGATTTCTAAAGACATTCATCATGCTTTTCTCCAATTTCTTCACATTTTTAAGGCATTTCTATGCAGAGTGCCATTCTCATGATTGAATTCCTGACATACGGTTTCTGTCATGAAGATGTAACTGCAAAAATTCCTGTAACTCTGGCAACAAGGGGAAATGGGTTAGTTCAAGTACAAGCTTCACTTGGTTTTAGTCTTCTACTTTTTTTAGCTACTGGAGGCTCTTGCACTGCACCTAAATTCCTAGCATAGCTAGTCTTAGACTTTCCTGGTGCACTGCCTCTACTAATCTGTTTGAAAGCCTAACTAGCAACATTTTAGGTATCTAAACTGCACTCATCTCACCAGTTGTTTCCAGCAGTCTGCTATTTGACCAAAAAACATCCACAGAATTTCTAAAATTGGATCTCCCACAAAAGAGTTGTTAATAGGCATAAATGACAGCATGCAGCTGGACTGACACTTCAGTAGGGCTGTGTCATTTATAGAATTCATGCCAAAGCACATGATAAAAAGATTGCAACTGGTCCTAGTTAAAAGAAAAAGTCATATTTTAACCTGACTGTCCAAAATAAGAAATTATTTTCTTAAATAGATCTTTGCAATGTGAGTAGCCTTTCACAGTGTATATAGAAAAAACTTTAAATAACCTAGTGACTAATTAGCTATGCATTTGTAAGTAGTGCTACACAATAGCAAATAATTATAAAAATAGTGATCATCATCATCATGGGCATACAAGGAATTAACCATCAATATAAAGAGATCATTGGAATGGATTTAGTTAGTTTTATTGAAAGGGAGGAAAAAAACCTCAGTCTTTCCCAGAAGCCTTTATCAGCTATCAGTATTTTTACCACCATACACACAGAAAGTTGGAGTCTGGACTATTTTGTACCAAGGCAGAAAATGAATTTATGAGTCTATGGAACCTGTACACAGGATGTGGGACAGAAAATCTTCCTCTCTGTCAGTACTGACCAGAAACAGCTCTGCACCTCTTAACCTTAGAGTAAAACAAAGCTGCATTTTAGACATTACTAGCATATTATGCTTGATGAATACTGTAATAACCAAAGCTATCTGAACTTTCTGATAATTCAAAACTTTGCATTTTTGGTAGGTACTAGAGCAAAAATGGTAATGCCATTGAAGCTTAATAAGATTGATTTTTTGGGTGTGATTTTAGGAAAAAAAAAAAAAAAGATAAATTTCAATGACTATTTCTCTCTTTCAGAAACCCAGATGGGGATGTCAGCCCATGGTGCTATATTGCAGAACATGAAGATGGAATATACTGGAAGTACTGTGAGATCCCATCCTGCCGAAGTAAGAGCACCCTGCAGAAGTTTTAGGGCTCCATCTCAGCTGAGCAGAGATTGGCAGTTCCACAAGAGTGGGTGGTGATTTCCAAACACAAACTAGCATCAGGCAAAACAGCTTATTTTCATTTGCAGACTAAGCTGTATTTAAAAATTTAAAGGTTTCTTAGAGTTAATGACAAGCTTACTGAATTGTTCCTCCACTGTTATCCTTTTCATCTTACCTCAGAATTACTGGATTATATTATTTACAAATAATACTGTGTGTCAGGGAATCACACGAAACTTGTAAAGTAATGCTAGTTCTTTGAATCCATAGATAATTATTTTATTAAAATCTAGAGGCCAAAAAAAGAAAGTTTTTACAAGGTATATATGTGTCCATTCATTGCAAGTAGCTCATGAAATAAATTACATTATTTTAATGTGGATAGAGCATAATACACAGAATTGCTTGGAGGAAACAAAAATATGAGAGGACACAGTGAAAAGGTGTCTGTGTGCTATATGGGAACTCTGGAGTAGAATTCTGTCTCTGGCAGGTGCAGATACTCAACATTGCTGTGAAACCACAACTTGGACTTAGTTTGATTTTTTTTTTTTAAATCAGATCACTTACAAACTACTCACATGAAGCTTCTTTCCAGAATTTAATATTTTTAATGTATTCTATTTTTTACTACGTCCACAATGTCATGATTTGTTTATCTTCCAAAATTCTCTTTCCCAAATCACATTGTTTAAAATATACCCAAATATTAAGAAGATATTCTAGTCTTGCATGTAGCAACCATGGCTACACATTTTAATAAGTCTAATCATTAATGACTTCCCTTGCTTTCCTAACTTCTTTTGTGCAAGCACCCTCTGTTTCTGAGGCATAACTTAGGTCTTCACTGCTAAGCACCAGAGCAGGCGCCCATATGTGGACACACATTTGATTAGAAGTAATATATTTCTTACCTGAAATTAAGAAAACAAAACCAGACAAGAAAACCAGAGCTAAAGTGATTTTTTTTTTTTTTACTTTACTCATAGCTTTGTTGTTTTGGGGTTTTTATGAATGTGAATGACTCACATCTTCATGCTAGGCAAACAAATACATGAGTGTGACCTTAAGACAGATGGCTTTTACCTAGACTTAAATACAGATTAAGGAGTCTAATTTAAATAACACAAAATCATTCAACACTCTGATATTCATTGTTCAGAGGACATTTTACTTATTTTACTAATATATAAGGTATGATTTAAGAAACTTGACCCTCCTAATTAAGAAATTTAACTTGGTCTAAAATGAAAGAATTTGCATTTTCTTTAAAGACCACAGATGTTAACAAATTATCTGGATATGGCACCAGGAAAAAAGCTGAAAGACAAATTCTCTCCACTCCATTTGTTCCACACAAAGGATCCTTTTAAAACCAGCCTTGCTCATTTTCTCTGTGGTGGGGAGCAGAGGATTTAAACTTGGACACTTACTTGCACAGATAATCCAGACTTACATTTACAAAATGTCCTTTTGACCAGTAGCAGCTGCTTCAAGCATTGCACTGAAACTCGATACTAGAAAAAGGAATTGCAGCAATTTAGAGCAAACTGTACATTGCAAGCCCATCCAAATCTTAATACAAACCTCATGGTTTATGAAGCTGTGTAAAAAAAATCTTTTATTCTTCACAAGACTTTCTGTTTTCAGTAAGCATGATGCTAAGTCATAGGACCATCACAACTATCTTGTGAAGTGTACAAATGAAATGAAAAGTCAGTTTTTGAATGCAAAACTTGACTTTTGTGATGGAGCAAGAAAGTAATTGTTTTAAAAAAATATTTGAAATTTTTAGAGAAAAAATTCTTATATAAGCTCCTTTTCCTTAATGATATTTACTACTAGAAAATTATCTGGAACTTAAGTTACCTATTAACTGTGCCCACATAATACCATGGCAGTGCCAACAACATGAAGCATCTTGATTGCCTAGAGAGATTTGCATGCAATGATTCATCTGAACAATAATTAAGAATCTACCGTTAAGAATTTTTCATTATGGTGATGAATTCACATGATTATCTCATGTGTCTCATTCCCTAATATTTACACATAACACTACATGCTTCGGTCAGAAATGTGTTCTGACATTCTGCATAGGTAATGTACAGAATTTAGCAGTGTTAGATGGAGATGGATGGGCACAATCACAGAAGACAGTGGTGGTTACTCCAGGAGGAGCTTTGTCTTCCCTTTTCTTCCTCTCTCCTTTTTCATGTCTGCTAAGCAGACTGGGATGGACAGAAACAAAATAAAAGGCAAGGCTGCAGCTCTGAGTGCTGAGAGAACATGTGCATCTCACATGGAGGACTCAGAACCGAACGCTTCAGATGGTTTGTTTGCAGTGCTGCAGCTATTCCTGACTTTTTTGGTCTCCTTGTTAATGAGGTTAAGTTTAAGTTCAAAGGAAATAACAACTTACACTTCCAAAATGTGAAAGAAAGAAAGAAAGAAAGTCTTGCTATACCACTTAACTACATCTTTATGTTTATGACTCACATGACTCTCTCCTCATAAACAGATTTCATTACTGAGATCATATTTCCAGTGTGCATGTATGTAATGTAATAAATTTGACTGAAATATGGAGGAGGTGTTAAATGGCAGGGCCAGGTAAGTTACACAGATCTGTATGGAACACAGGAACAAGGACAGCTCAAACAAATTGTGCATGTGCAAAAAGCTGGGAGGCTCTTCAAAGACAGCTACATGAGCATAGCTGGAACATGGTTTTGAGCTCAAAAGGATTAATCCCATATTTTAATACATTGAATATGTGCCTCAACATGTAAAATGCAGAAACTGTGGTGTTTGCCAAGACCTCATTAAGTCAAATGCTGCTTAAAAGAAAAATAATATGCTTGTGCAAAAGAGGTGACCTTTTAAGCAGAAGAGGACAAATAGATACAAATGGGTGAAGACAATGTAATAGTGAAACATCACTGGTGAGCATGAACAGTAATTGCAGAACACTGACTACCTCACTTTTTTGCCAAGTTTCTTCAGCAGGCTAAATATTAAGAGCAAAGAATGTTAAAATACTGCTGGGACACCAGAGACTTATTAGCCTTAGGATGTACACTTGATTTAGTTAAAAAATTTAAGAAGTTTTCAAATTACTCCGGTTTCTTAGCATACTGAAGTACTAATCCTCTGGAGCCAAGGTTGAAAGGTCTCACTAATAAAGCTACTTTAAAAAAGAAAAAAAAAATCAAACTCCCAGGTCTCTTAGGAAATGAGCTAGGTTGGATAACTAGGAAGCTTTTTCAGGGCTGTGAAATCATGCACAATACAAAAAAGAATGAGCTCTCTCATGAGTTATCTGCCCAGCTGTACTCAGCTGGGGTGGGGCTGCAAGTGGGGATTTCCAAAGGTATGTTAAATCAGGCTGTAACTTGAAGTCTCAGTACTTATATGAATGTTGCTGCAGGGCATATCAAAGACATAACTCCATGCAAGTATTTATAATTGAAATTGTATTCTTAGAGAACAAAATTAATTTCTGAACAGTATTTCAAGCAACGTTATGTCATTATTTATAATAAGTTTACTGGGTGCTCTAATAGCCAATGACTGCATAAATAAAACACTCATACAGGTCTCTGAGCACATCATGTCAAACAGAGCTGTGGCAGTTAGGTGGACAAAAAGAATCCATGTCCATCTGGCACAAGAATAAAACTTAACATGGAGCTAGTAACAGATTTAATTTCAAGCATGTGAATAGATATGACAAGTGGGCAAGGGATAATTTTCTGCCATTATCCCAGCACTGTATTGTACTCCACATCCTCTCTCCAGGGTGGTCATGGCTAAATTCCAGTGCTTTGATGAAAAGTGCAAAACCAAAAAAAAACCAGAGCACTGAAGGGAGAAAACTCTGATCTCCCATAGTGACCAAGGAGCCTTGAAACAACATATTAATGTAAATAGATGGGTTGTTTTCTTAAAGTAATAATGCTCATTATTAATGTCCTAGTATGATGCTTCAGATTCATATCAGAATTCAAGTTTTAAATATTAGGAAATTCCCCTATATTAGTCCCTCCCACAAAACTTGCCAAACTCCATTCTAAAACTGTTTATCTTCCCTCCCTCAAATATCCTGTTTTGAAAACTTCCAGAATGTCACGTTTGGAAGGTCAGACAGAAATCAAACAGTTTAATTTACGTTTTCAGAATATGCATGCCAGTAGCAAAAAAAAAAAACAAAAACACAAACCACACAACCCCCCTGTACCCACTTAATGCCTTGGGTTTTTTAAACTGCCTCTTTCAGGAGAAATGAACAAAGTATTTATCTTGTATATTTTACTGCAGCTTACTGAAACCAGCTAGACAGTCTTACAGGTATGTTGCTGAGATGATATGATACTCTTTTTGTCCCATCACTCATCCCTGGGTGTGTTTGGAAAATATGACAAGAATCATGCAGAGCATGAGTAACAAAGAGTAATAAAGAGTTCCCATAGGGCAATGCTGAGCCCAGAACACAGAGAGAGCTGCTCAGTGACCAGGTAGTGCATGAAGTGGTCTGGGCTGTGTACAGGCACTCTAGAATGACTGTTTTGTGTCACTCTTGCCAGTGCCAGGGAATCTGGGCTGTTACAAGGACCATGGGGAGCCACCACCCCTGACTGGCACCAGCGAGACCTCCAACAAGCTCACCATCCAGACGTGCATCAGCTCCTGCCGCAGCCAGCAGTTCAAGGTGATCTCCTTCACATCCATTTACAAAATGCTTTCAAAGACAGAAATGGCAACATGCCTAGAGGTCTCTGTCCTATTTCTCCTCTTCCCCATTTTTTTTAACCTTTGGGAGGTCTTCCCAAAGGTGGGAGGTCGCACTTTCACCCTGCTGATCAAGCCCTCGCTCTGCATCCAGAGGAATCTGAACAAATGGCCAACGAATAACACCAGGGGAAAATATGGTTGCTGACTGCCATTATGTCAGGGTGCCCTCCATTCCATCTTTCCCCTAGTCTTAAGTAGCATCCTGACAGCCCAAACAAAAACAGCCTGTGGTGGTTCCTCTGAGTAATCATACTTCTCCAAAACACACATTTTCTGCTGCCAGCTTTCTTGCTCAGACAACCTCCCGCTGTCACTCCTTCAAATGCTATTCCTCCCTTCCTTATGCATCTTTGTTGTCAAAGTTTGCAGGCATGGAATCAGGTTATGCTTGCTTCTGTGGAAATAATCCTGACTACTGGAGATACGGGGAGGCAGCCAGCACGGAATGCAACAGTGTTTGCTTTGGAGACCACACTCAGCCCTGCGGTGGGGATGGCAGAGTCATTCTCTTTGACAGTAAGTATTGAAGCAGGCTGAGCTTTTCCCAAAGGAGAGGCCTCACATGTTCAGCAAATTAGGGAAAAGGCTCAAAACAAAGAGAACTGTTGCACAGCAAACAGCAAAACACCTCCATTCGGTATAAATTAAAGCTGCTTTCCTCTTCTGCCTAAAATTCTCATCCATTAATACTGTGAAATAGCTCTTCCAAGAAATGATGCTTACTCATGCTCCAGAGGTTCTTTCACTTTCCTCACAAGTGGTACCAAGTCAGCTGTCAGAAACTCCCTAAGAATTGATCTTATTAGAGAGTAAATTTTGGATGTGCATGTATGGATATGCACTGTCAGTTGGTGGCATTTGAGTTCTCTCTGGATTCACTGGAGTTTAAGTTTTCAATTTCCTACAGCTGTGAAGGAATGTCAGTCATTAAGCAGTGAGAGTTAATAGTCACTAATCCACTTTCCTGCAAGATAGGCTTAGAGTAGAAGCCCCTGAATCAGTGATTTATCTTTCATCCCATTTCTGCAGGGATGCAGGAGAGGGTTCCTGGTTACACACAGGGACAAAGGAAAGTTGCAGTGTTCAAGGCTGATGCATAGGTCAGAGTAATGAGGCATAAGTATTCCAAGAAAAGGCACAAAAGCTGTGCTGTGGGAGGGAAAGAGCAGCTGCAGACACTGCATCCTGCTGGCCTAGCCAGCCTGTGCCTTCAAGTCACATTTAAGTATTAGAATCTACAGGTGCTAAAGCTTTGCAAAATTAATGTATTACTTCTTTTTTTCTTTCTTTCTTCCCATTTTCCCCCTTTTCTCTTCTTTTCACAGCCCTTATTGGTGCCTGTGGAGGGAATTACACTTCTGCCACAGCTGTGATCTATTCCCCAGATTTTCCTGACACATATGGCACAGGCAAAGTCTGTTATTGGACCATACAAGTTCCAGGAGCATCTCAAATCCACTTCACCTTTGTCCTTTTTGAAATCAAAGATGCTACAGATATGGTAGAATTGCTGGATGGTTACACCTACCACGTTCTGGCTCGTTTCAATGGCAAGAACAAGCCTCCCCACACCTTTAACATCTCTTTGGATTTTGTCATTCTGTACTTTTTCTCAGATGACATCAATCAAGCCCAGGGATTTGCTATCAGGTACAGAGGTAAGAGGCTACCTTTGCTGTTTCTACCTTTCAGTGAAGCATTTAATTCCCACAGGAGATTTCTCAAGTGGCAATTAAAGAACAAATATTTCAGCTCTTATCTAACAGGTGTTTCATCTCTCTTGTTGCCACTACTCACTGGGTGAAAATTTCACCAAAATTTCTCTCCGTTTAGAACATTCCAGTCAGCTACATCATAAATAGAAAAATACAGGTTTTCAAAACCTGCACTTTGCTATTTATTTCATAATTTTAAAATTCAATTCTATACCTCCCTGTTAAAACAGATTGAAAAATGACAAAAGAAAGCAAAACAAACAATAATCCATCTGCACATTGGTTTATCTTGGCTCCTCCCAACAGTTTCTCCCTCTCCATCATGAGAAAATGTCCTTGAGTTGTACCTACTGTTATGATGAACAATCAGCTTCCAGAAAAATTCTGAGAACCCCAGCCTGATGAAGCACAGGCCTTTTTAGGAATCAGATATAATTTGATTATTTGAGTTCTCTTATGTAAACCAGAGAGCAGCATGTCTGCTTATAAGCACAAAATAAAGTCCAATTACACCTGTTAAGAGATTGTTTATTATTGTAATCATACTGCTGTGTTTTCAGCTGTGAAGGACAATGTGCACCAAAACAAGATCCCAGTGAATCACACCCTTCCAGAGAGGACAAATGAACAAGCAAATCTCAGCATCAATGCAGCCCGGTCATCAAAGATACTTTATGTCATCACAACCAGCCCAAGCCACCCAACCAGCTCCATGCCTGGTAATGACACCAAAAAAACGTGGAAATGGGAAAAAACATTTTGCCAAAGTAAAATCTGGAGTCACTATTTCCTCTGCTGCCTCCTCCATGTTAGCAGATGCACTGTGCATCTCACTAAAAAAATGAATTTTCATTCAGTCTAATTAGCACTAACTGGGATTCTATCATTACATTTAAAACACTTCTCAGCCTCAGTCAGAAATAGTGTGAAGATGGTGAGTTCTTGAGAATGAAAGTGTATCAAAATATATGAGTCAGAGCAGCTTCCTTAGTGCAATCAGCTTTAGTGACCTGCATGCCACAGAAGGGCACAAGTTGCTGAAAAAAGAGCAAACTTTACTTGTAGAGTCTAAAATAGCTTGAATGCTGCTTGCATCCCTGTTACCCCAATTAACAAAAGCCTCATCAATAATACAAAGAGGACCAGACAAGTTAATGGGTGTAGGGGAGGGCTCACTGAGAACTGTCATGTGTTTAAAACTCAGCTCCAGGACATCACTGAATTCAGGAAATTACTGAGCTGTGAATAATTGAAGGCTAGAAATGCACTCTTGGTGAATATCACTATTATTCTCTGTTGTTAAACCACCCTGGGCATCTTCTTTTATGTATCATTGGAGCTGGGCCTCAATCCCACAGTCCTGGAGCTGCATCCCAAACCTGAAACAGGAGCTGCACACCCAAACCAGCCAAGGTGCAGAACCTGCCCAGGAACAGTCTGGGACCAGCCCCAGCCTAATGCTGACTTACCACCAAAAGCTGCCTAGAGTTAAACTGCCCAGGATCACCAACAGAAACTGCACCCTTGGATTTTATACAGTTCCAAAAATACTGATCAAATCATCATGTACAGGCAGTGCTTTGAGGAAGGGGCAGTGGGTGGAAGGGAACTTCTGCTTCCTTTCCTAGATAATTTTACTAGCATATGCTTTGAATTTTGCCAGCTTTCAGTTTTATTGGGAGGAGTTCTGCAAGGGAAAAAAGCAGTTCTGACTGAAAGTTGTATGGTTTGTGCCAGTCTGCAGAAAATACTCGCAGGTTTAAGGCATTGTCAAATTCCAGAATTGAATAAAGGATCACAAAGCTGTTTGTTCCTTTCATGCAATATTCTTACTGTAAAAACTGTTAATAAATGAATGTACTGAGAGCTCCTCCTGTTCTCTTTTGCAGAATGGACAATATACAGCCTCACAGCGCTGCTCATCCTAAGTGCTACAGCCATAATTGCAAAGATACTTCTGCATGTTACCATGAGGTGAGTGTGCAGCAAAACCAACCTCAGAGAACCAAGATCCCAGCTCTGAACCAAACCTGGGGCTCCCCTCTGCCTTCCAGTTGTCAGATTGGCCCTATTCCAAACCAAGTTAGTTATTACATATTTATATTCTCATAGAAGATCCTAAATAAACACATTTTTTAACTTTCCAGCCTGTTAGGATAGCATTTGCTACTAGACTATCTCTTCTGCTATTGATTTGACAAGATTTGTACTTTAGGGGGAAGGAGGAAAATGTTACCAGACATCCAGGTTTGGTGAGAAGAGGTCAAATTATGATAATACTTTGCAGGGAAAAAATTAAAACCTCTACACACCTACCAAGTAAATTTTGGGTCCTCTAGATGGACATTCACTGAATGAAATGATGGGCGAGTTATCAACAAATCAAAATGCTGAATATTGTATTTACAAAGTGCAAACATGCTTAAATATACAAGGAAATTAATTTGTATTAATAGCAACTATAATAATAACAACAACTTCAGTCTGTAGAGCCCTCTTAGCTTAATGTCAGTGCTGTCATAGGGTGGCAGAAGGATACCTAACTTTTCATTTAATCAAGCCAACCAAGAAACATTCCAAAAACGTGCATTTTGCACAGCAGGTAGAAAGAAGTGTCACAGATGCAGTGGAGGCTGTGAGCAGTCCCAGTGCAGACACATTGATAACCACAGCTACCCAAGCACTTCACACAGGAGTGAATTCACTCTTGTTTCCTAGGTCCCACCAGATTCCAGCTGCAGCTGAAACAGAGGATTGCAGTGATGTCACTACTGCTGGTGAGATCTGGAGTATATTTTACCAACCATCCACATCAATTTCCATCTTCAAGAAAAAGCTTCGAAATCAGCAAGATGATTGCAACCCACTGGTGGGAGACTGAGCTGTCTTATCTTGCAAGAATTGATCTCCTTAAAATCCAGGTGACTTGAGATTAATCTTCCTTTTTTTCCTCCCAACCTCATCCTGTTTTCCAAAAAGTCCATTTCCAAAGGCCTTTGAGTCACTTTGCCTCTCTGCTGTTCTCTTGGATATAGCAGTGACAATGGATTTAATTGCAGCAATAATTCTGAAATACCTGGTGCTCCTCAAGTCTGTAGTGCTGTTAATTACTGCCTTTAAAGCATTGCACTCAAAATAGATGTAAAAACTTGTAAAATTCAACATGTCCTGTACCCCTGCCCAAGGTAACTGAAGGGGTTTTTACAGGTTGAGGATTTCTTGTGTCCCCCTTGCCTGTGCCACTGTATTAGATCAGGCTACTTGAGTCCTTTTATTCTCAAGCTGAAGACAGAGGTAGGTACTGCTAACCTGTTCAGCAAACAGAGCTTATTTACCTTGATGTAAACACATCTCAATGGTATTGTACAGGAGAATGGGAATCAAAGACTGGAAAAATGATCAGCCTGGTTGCTCAGTGCTGTGCTCTTTCTGCATGTTCTGTTTCTGTGTCTACAAGCAGAGATGCAGACATAAAAAAATCAAATTCAGGATGCCTCTATAACAAGATTCAGCTACAAATATTCATTTTGGTTGACTAGAGCTTACCAGGTCAAGGCCTGCAGAAGCATTGAAGCCTTTTAAATGACTCTGACCCATCATTCACTGATGTTTATGATCATTTTGTTCATATTCACAGTGATCCTTTAAAAAACTAGTTATACTCCAGCCTGAGAGCCAGCATTCATCCTGGGTATAAGCTTAGGGCTTCTTAAAGGATTGTCCAAAGATAATCCACTGAATTTTTATCAGTGAGGCTGACTAACCAATTTTTGCTCTGAAGTCACAAGTATTGATCTCAGCAGCCCAAACATTTTACAAAGTTGTAGACTGATATCACCAACTCCCCTGGGCCAGGCTGTGCAGCTGAGCATGCACAAAACAGCTGCCTGGACACTCACCTGTGGGGAGAAGTGTCTCCTTACCTGCAGCACTAAAACTGAACTGAATTTTTAAGGTAATTGCCTTACTTGTCAAAGAACTAAAACATCAGTGGGGTTCTGATCTGTGAACTATTTTCTTTGATGCTGCAACAGACAGCATTAACTATTTCTGCTCTTTGGTGGACTGGCTGTCCATCCACAACACTCAGATTTCTCATCCCACCACCTGAAGTGGGAAACAAGTGATTCCAAGGGATCAGCAGTGAATCTTTCTGCCTCAGCAAGTTCAGACCAGCAAGATATTTAGGAAAAACTGTCAATGCAAATGTCAGATAAATTGACTGGAAAGTGTACAGTGTGCAGCTCCTTAAACTCAGAGAAAGTTCACTGAGAACCATTAAACTACACTAATTCTGGTTAAGTTTGAACATATACCAATGGTCTGCATATACCAGATGTGCAGTCAGAGAATATCTATTAAGTACATCTACAAAAGGTAATTAAGAATAGTAAAATAATTGTCTCGGAGTTTAAATTCATTCCAGAATCTGTCCTTATATTTTTTAACATATAACTCCCTCCTTTTTGTGAGAACTACAGATTTCACTGAAAAATCAGGGCAAAGAATTAAGCAGATTTCACTTAAGCACAAGTGAAATCTTGTGCCTTACAAGTGCAGATCTGGTCTTTTACCTGAACTGAATTCAATCCAGCTTGATTTATGCACCACAGATGAGTGCTAGAGACAGCTGAACAACATCACAATGCATGCTTAAAAGAAGCCAGACTTTACTAAGCCAGCAATTATGGAATTGTTTATATAAAAAATGGAACAGCATGGGAACATCTAGTACTTTCTTGCATGAGCTGCTGGAAAGAATACAGGAAAATATAATTACAGTATTAGCTAAATGAAGACAGGACAAGTTGTAAAAGCTGTGCTGGTTCTCTCTGATGTGTCTCCATGTTGGACCAAAAACCATTGGTCCAACATGGACCAATATTGTCTGTTTCAGACCCAACACAAGTTCTGAAATTGCCTTTTTTAAAGGTAAGGTTTTGCATCATGCTGTGTGGAAAAGAGTTCACCTCAGAGAGAGCAAAACAAAGCAGATTGGTTCCTAAGCATCCTTAATTTGGTGCACTAACAGGAAACCAGGCAGGGAGAATCACAGTGTGCTGCCAGATCCTCAGGAGCTGTTACAGGCACACAGTGCTTATCACAAAGTGATGAAGCTTTGCTTGCCTTATCAAAGGCAAGTTAAACATTTTGTCAGAGAGACTTTGATAAAGCAGTTACCTAATGGTGATAAACTGAAAAAACATCAGAACACCCAGTGACTGATGTACACCTACTGCAGAAAGAAAAAATACAGAATGCTACACTTCTCTTCATTAGTGAAAAATTTAATTTCACTATAATATTAGAGAAAATATTACAAAGAGTAACAAAGACTGACACTACTAATGCAAAATCTACAGAATTTAAGAAGTGAGATTTTTGCATTGCTCTCTTAGCTCCTCAAATATTTTTTTAATAAAATTGTATTTCATGGGACTTTCATGGGGAGCATTAATCAAATTTATGTACAAAAGTCCCATAAAACCAGCACTTACAGCAGATTAACTGGTCATGGCAACAATAAACAGGACTGGCATTAGACAGTGCATGGGTAATACACTGATAAAAGCATAGAAGAAATTATGTTCCCCCACACAGAATTTTTGAGATTGGCTGATTCTAGATCCTGCTAGTGCTAGCAAACAGAGCAATGGATGGAACTTCATGGACAGGGTCCCTTAAATAGCACTTATTACTTTCCAGGGCTGAGGCCATGAAGAGCAGGTAGATCTCCAGTGTGGATTTTTCCAAATGGGGTAGGGTCACTCACATTGCTAGTGCAGACACTTCAGGGTGTGGTGATTTATGGCCAAGAGATGTGGTATCCATGAACACAGCATGTTCTGATCTTTGCTTTGAGGGTTTGGGGGAGAAAGAAGCAAAAAGAGTGACCATGCACAAGTGTTGTAATCCCACAAAGGAAATGTCCCAACTGCACAGGCAGCTGAGAGCAGGGACACCTCAGCAGGGTGGTGTCTGCCCCATGTTCTCCAGCAAATTGAGAATAACTGCAGAAGAAGAATTTGTTTGGAATTGCATTGAACAGCCTCTGAGCTCCTGCCTAGCAGTCCCCTCAGGAGGCTGGACAGGCTGCAAAGGTGACACTGGTACAATGTCAAAATCCTGATGAGGAGCTGCCTCCTCCTTCCCAGGGATTTCAGCTCCTGCCCTGGCCCACTGCTCACTCTCGTGTTGGTGTGACCAGCTGTGTAGTGGTGCAATAAACTGATCAGGTCAAAAACTGCCATGGCTTCTTCTTCCCTGAGTTCCTTTTCACAGAGCTGAGCTCTCTGCCCTTGCCCCTGGCTGGTGGCACAGGGAGATGAGCTCAGAGCTCCCTGAGTGCACCCTGGGCACACAATGAGCCATGGGGCAAGGGCAGATGTGTGCCCCAGGGACAATGAGCACTTCTGCTGGAACTGCCACAGCCATGGGTGAGCCTGCTGCCTTCACCCTGCACCCAGCTCCCTCCACTGTGTGTGCACCTCACGTGGAAAGGGGCCAGCTGGAAAAGTGCCTTCTCCTTCAAAATCTACATTTTAAACTAGTTTAGTTTATTGACTACATGATTTTATATGTATTTTTATCTTAATATTGTTATGTTGTGGGAAAATAGAGACTTTGTTATGTAAAAATGTGTGATGTGTTATCATAGTAATATATATATTTGTATATGTATAGGAAATGCATTATTTAATACAGCATATTATGCTTCTATCTTGCTAACATTTTATAGGAAGAAAAGATGTTAGTTTACACTCTGGGAAAAATAAATTTTCTATACACTGTAACCATAGGGAAAAAAAATCAAAGCTACTTCTTTGGTGTATATGATAGAAAGACATTGAGAATAAGGGAACTCACCCTCAGTTTTGTGACAGAATAGATGCTGATAAAACAATTGCTGTAAGAAACATTTTCCTCCTTTGAATCTCACTTCTAGCCTGTAATTGTATTAGGCTGTTCATAAGATTCTGCAAATTCATGTGCATACACTCTCTGGATGATTTTTACCATCAAACATGTAATCTGCCTTTGTAATCAAGCATCAACATAATCTTCTTTAGGACTTGTTTCTGCCAGATTTTCTACAGCCAGGACAATGCTGAGGAAGTTTATCACATTGCTCATGCAGAAATCCAGTGGGATTGCAGAATTAAAGTCTGTGTATTCCAATCCCCCAGCAATAATATAAATAGGAGATTTTCATGGATAGTCCTGGAAACTGCACTGAATCTGCAGCCTGGATGACTACAGGTCAAACACACCAGCAGACACATGGCTGCCACTGAATGAGCAGAAATAGCAATTCCACTTTCATCTTCTGCTTAATAAGCCCTCTCAGGCAGTGGGAAGGAACAGAGTTTTCTAGTGCACCACTTTGCCTAAAGGAAGGGTGAATACAAAAACAACTCCTGACAAAAACTCGTCCAACTGGTTCTTACTGCCCTGCAGCAGTATTTCACAATCTTCCAATGAAATACAGTTCACTGATAGTTTCACCTGAATATTGTTCTGGGCACTAATGAACAATTCTGCTACCTTGAGAGTGAAAAATACAATTGCCTTCAGACCATACAATTTTTTTTTTAACAACACATCCCCACTGGACACACATTTCACACCACTCAGACTTTCCCAGATTTACTGAGCACCTGTGCTTTGGGATGAAATCTGGCATCACAAACTTCAGACTAAAGACATTTTGCTCCAAATCCAAAAGCTATCACATGAACCACATAAGGCTGTCAAGAAACCAGAATAAATCAAATTTGAGGTGACTTGCTGCTGAAGTATGCACTGTGTTTGTAACTGTTCACCCTGCATTCAGCAAATGGTTGTAAATAATAATTATGAAAAAATAAATACAGTGTATTTGTGCAGGAGGAGTTCAGTTAGGATGACTAAAGTGTATACAAGCATGAAATAAAGGAGGCAGAAACTGCTGCAGTTCACCAGCAGATTACAAGAGCACTGCCTGCTGTACATGTTAGAAGAGAGTAATTAGAGCTGAAAATGATTACTTTACATATGAAGTATGATAATGCTCTGAGACACAATCTCTGAGGTAACAGCAAATTGAAAGTATTAGGTTTATGTGTTTTCAAGCTTTTAAAAACTTTACAAATTTGTTCAGGGTTTGCTTTGCAATTGCAGCACTGTGTAATGCTGTTTCCACTTTCTTGCAAGATTCATCTTTTCTCTAATTAATTCCTCCTGGCCAAAATAATGCTACATTTTAAGAAACCTTCAGCAACCTTTTATGTAAACAAGTGACAAATACCAAAACTGCCTCCTTTTCATGAAAGCTCTCTTTTCTTTTAGAAACACAGCTGTCACAGGGGACTGGTCTCCCCTTACACAGGGGAGGTTACTCTGCTCTCCTTTCTTGCCATTCTGGTTATGGGACTCTGGCACTTTGGTTCTTTCTGGGAACTGTTCCCTTCTTTTTTCTTGCTTGTTTCCTAAGCAGCAGTTTCATTCCCCACGAGGGAAATGTGTTCTTTATTCTGAAATAGACACTTTTCTATGAAGCATTTAAGTCACAGGAGCAGGGTGCTTTCACTGCAAGATAAAATACCAGGTTTCAGGTCTGCCATTGTCTCCCTGGCCAGAGAATTAGGCCAGGCTGGCTCCACAGGGTATGGACATGGCCACCCTTTTAAGGGCATTTTTCTCTTCATGCTACCCAAGCAACAACAAACGTCACCTAACAGCTGCCATAGGATTTGACAGATGCACACGATATTGCAGATAGTGTTACAGAAACACCAAGTGTTACAGTAATGTACAATCCACTAAGAATAATCTGCTTCTACTTGTCTTTTTCTACTGTATCAAGGTTCTGTGGAGGCTTATGGTGTCACCTTTTGTGACAAATTTGTTCCTTAAGCATCGAACCTGAAAAGTAAAAAGAACCTCCCCCCTTGCCAACTATCCAAATGTTCATTGTGAACAGACAATATTTACATTTAGTCATTTTTAAAAAAACACAACAAAGACTAGACAGAATTTCACACAGAGCTAGCACCACACACAAGTGCTGCTGTGCTTCATGCAGACAGAACATGGGCTCACTGGTTATGCTGTGGTACAGTCACAATACAGTGCCACCATACAATTTCAGAAGGCTTTGAGCATTTGCCCATACAGAGTAACACCTTACCTCATCAGAAGGCTTCAGGCATCTGCCCATACAGAATAAAATCCTGTTAACTACAGAAGGCTTCAGGCATCTGCCCATGCAGAGTAACATCCTATCCTTTCAGAAGGCTGCAGGTATCTGCCCTTCTGGTTCTTTAGCCCAACCTTTTATCCCTTCCTGTTAATGCCCTGCACCTGTGTGCCCCTCATTGTTCATGCAAAGCACCTGTGCGCCCCTCCTGTTAATGCCCTGCACCTGTGTGCCCTCATGGTTGATGCAGTGCCCCTGTGTGCCCTCTGTTCCCTTTGGTGGTTGCTCAGTGCCCCTGGCACTCCATGGCTCGTTGTTTCAATGCTGGTCACCTGCTCCTCACAGCTGTGCCCATTGGGGATGGGGCTCAGCCACAGCCCCACTCCCAATGACCCCAGACTGTGTCCCTACAGGACACTGAGGGTGGTGGCATGTCCTGCTCCTAAAAGCACAATCACCTGGCAGTTTTCTTCCGAGCAGGGAACAAGAAAACAGAACACCAGCAGTAGCAAGAACCAGGAGGGTGGAGGGAGGGAAGGGAGATTCAGATGTGACCTGTCACCATATGAGTTACGAGCCACCCACACAGGGGGCTTTATGCTATTTGTAAAAACAAGTGTTTTGTGAACTAATTTGCATATAAAAGGCATATCTGTAATCACTGCAATTGCCCAGACTCTGC